CCAGCGCAAGCTTTCGCTCCACGCTCCGAGCTGAGACGCGTTAGCCCACTCGGCCACTTCCTCCCCTTCTCGCATAAAAATCTTGATAAGTTTTTTTTTTTTTTTTTTTTTTTTGTCAACTTTATTTTTTGCACATAGTACGTAGAGATAAAAAAACGGTACTTTCTTGAAGAAACAGTGAGTGCGCATGCGAGCTGGTGGATGTTGATCATGATGTAGAAAACCCGAGACTGTGGTAAAAGTAGGGAAACGGTGTCGAAGAAGAAAGACAAGGGAAAAGAACGTCCCCCGTCTTTCTTCTTCGACAGACAACGTTTTCCTGCTTTTACCACAATCTCGGGTTTTCTACATCATGAATGATGTACTTTCTTAATTTCCAGTGGCACACTCTTAGAAAAAAGGGTCAGTATAGTCCTCCCTAAAGGGAGGAACGCTCTTGACACATATGTTCCTTCAGAAAGGGAGAAACCTTCGTCCCTGAAGCAGGGGAGCAAAGTTCCTCCGCCGCTTGCATCTCAATATGGCGGCCCCGAATCGAGCAAATCGAGCTCGGTAAGGCTTAACGAGAACATTAAGTCTATTGCACGAAGCGAGAGGAGTAGGGAATAAAAACGTAGCACGAGCTTTCCGCGAACTGTATTTATTTCCGAAGTTTCTTTACCCCTGCAGGTAAAGAAACTTACGTTTCGAAAGCATGCAGTCACTCAGTCTTCTCATCGTCAGCACTGCGATGTTCAACGGAGACAACCGGCACTCAGTTCGCGCACTTTATGTCCTACCTTTGCTATTCCTCGAGCCACAATTCCTTCGTCAACCGTTGCGTCAACCGCACATCACGGAGGAGTGAAAATCATTCGCCCGCAAAACCAAAAGCCGCTCTCAAAAAAAAAAGCAAATCCGAAGCAACCTCTTGGCTTATCTCAGCACGGTAACACGAAATTATGGCGTAGCCGCGTAGCGTAAAGGATGTTAAATCGCTTGCCACCAGATGGCAGGGTCAAGCAGAGTAATCGCAAGTAGCTAGGCTAGGTGGCGCTAGGTACCGCCCAATTCATGTTTTACAAAAAAATATTTTTATTTCCTTAGGCCACAATTGCGTTTCCTTTTCTTCGGAATCTCTAACACATGTAGACACGTTGCGCACACTACAAACATCAGGTCAACATATTGACGCTTTACACACGCGCCAGATTACAGCCGCCATGGCCGACCTTCTTTTGTCTTATGGAGATACCGAGCCACTGAAACGGGTGTTTACGAGCCTCCGGAAGGGCCAATGCTGGGTAGTAGGACGCAATAGAATTTAAGATGGCAATAACCTGGCCTGCTATGGTAATGATGAAGTGAAGAAAATTCAATAAGAGCAAACAAAAACTGAAGGTCAGTTATGGCGGCGCCCATGCACAACTGCTGCAAAGCGTCTATATTGAACGCATACACAGGCATCGCACATACAAACATCAATACAACAGCACACTACCCCGATCACTACTACCGAGCCCTGCGTTTCCGTCTTTTATAGTGGTCGTTTTGAAGGTACGGAATTTTTCGGTGACTCCCTAAGCAAAAAAAAATATTCCGAACATGTTCATTTTTTTCCAGCAATGTCATACATCTGAGGCTATTTTTAATGGCTCAGGGGATGAATCTCTTATTAAAAAGAAGACGCTCGATCATGCCATAATTATTTGAAAGCCAATAAATCGAGCCGCTCCAATGTGGTTCCAAGCCATGAGTTTGTTTTCCCGCATGGCTCTTCGTAGCCAGTATTTATATTGTAGTGTTCGTTTTTCTATTTGTGCTGTTCGCGCAAAGCTGCAATTGCCGTCTCGAATTAACCTCTGTAGAGCGGATATCCACTCAGCTGGAAGTGATGCTTCACGGGCACAGAAATCGCTTTTCGATCAACTTGAATGCAGTCAAAGCCGCGACTTGCGACAACTGTTAAGTGTACGGAGCTGCGCCAGCTGCGCCGTTGCGAGCTCGAAAACTGTAAGCGCTCATCCCAGCGCGCCACTTAGAGGGCAGTTTCTACAGGAACCGTAATATATTTAAACAGAAAAAATAAAGGATAGCGTTTTTTTTTTTTTTTTTTCGATTTTGCCTGTTTTTTTTTTTTTTTTTTACGCTAAACTTCCATTATAAATATACGTACCTTCCGTCATACTTTCGTAGTGTTGTCTTTTCCCCAGAGCGCAATCGCTCTCGGGGACCGACAGTCACATTGGCCACTGTACGATAGGAGCTTACCGTTCAGACCAGCGTTCCAACATGACTATCCACACGTCGATCGACTGCACCTAATCCCTCAAGTGGTTTTAAACTCTTTAATGTAAAGCGGAATGTCATCCTGCGACACCCCGGCCCCTCCGATAACGGCCCGACCAGCGGCATCAATGCCCGACAGTTAACGTCATCTCATCTTGTGGTTACACCACTGATACGCGAACACACGGTCACATCGGCGATAATTCCAGTCTTCTGTTCACAACCCACAACACTGCCATCACGATGTCGCTGACACGAAGAAATACAGAACCACGTTGACGATGTTACTGACACGCAGAAGAATCACGTTGAACGCCGGTTGGCACTCGGCACGGGACAACGGAACCGAACTCAGCACGGGAGGCACCCAGGCAGCCGGCAGGAAAACCACTGATCTCCACTAGGGGGGGCTGGATGGCGCATTAAGCAAACAGGTATGAAGCCACCGGAAGTGAGATGCTTGTCCCGGAAGTGAGCCTTTGGCAGGCTTTGTAACCCTTCCGAGTGCTGGCAGTGCTGGCAGTGCTGGTTCGAAAAGCGTCGAGGGCGCTGGATTTTCGCTTGTTCCCTCAAGAGAGCCTGCTTGTTGCGCAGTAAGAGCGCATGCGGACCCGAGAAGTATCATGGGAAGCCATGCAATGTAAACATTTTGAGATTCTAGTTGATCAAATTGTGAATATGTCCCAAGTTCAAATGCCTGATTCTCGGGATTTAATCTAGAACGGGAGTATTAAAACCCAATCAAAGACACGAAAAAGCATGGTCCAAAATATCGACTGAATGCACTAGGAAGCCCAGCGCACGCCCGACTTCCGGGACAAGAACCGAACTTCCGGTGGCTTCACTTGCGCCGGGCTCCGAGAGCAGCTAAGCGCCATCCAGCCCCCTATAGTAGAGACCAGTGAGGAAAACCTGCCTTCCTTGGACGCAGTTCCCGCGATTTCCATAACGTCGAAAACGTCGAAACAGTTCCTCGTGGTTTCGCTGCTGTAGTTGGTTCCGCGCGTTCCGCGTGTGTCCCGCAAATTGGAGACGGCCGTCTTACCCAGTGTATGTAGCGCTGCTGGCACTGCTCCGGAACTTCGCTGTTTCTAGCGGCTTCGTTAGCTCGTTTGATAAAATTAGTGGTAAAAACGTCAATGCAACCGAAATGTTCTGCACGTTTAGACTAGAAGACGGAATTACAGGCGGCCTTCGCTGCCGCTGAAGCGCAATCAACTCAACATTAATTTATTAAACAACGTGCGCGATGTGCTCGAAAAACGAAACCGAAAGAAGATGGGTCGGGAGGGTGAAAGCTTTCTCCGGTCTGCCTGGAGGAGGAAAACGTCTGGGAGAATAATAAGGACTTTAATTTTCCTTTCATTGGTCTGGGTTTGTTTATGTGTGTTTTGGTAAACAAAAAAAAAAAAAAAAAAAAATAAATAAAAAAAAATAATAATAAACACTGTTTTGGGAATCGAACCGTTGACCACTTGGTCAGTAGCGCGATGTTCTACCCCTGCGCCAACTGAACAAGGAGGAACTCGCCCTCCTCCTTTCATCTGAACTGCCGTTCCTCCCTTCTCTGGGCAACTTGTCCGCAACAAGGAGGAACAGTCGCTTTTGCTACCTTTCTCCTCCCTTTTTTCTTAGAGTGCATCGCCAACCATGCCACGTGCCAGATACTTCGTTTTTTCTTTTTCGAGAACAGCTCCTTTTTGGCGCAGACAGGGCGCAAATTGTGCACAGATACAGCCTTTGGAGCAGCATGCAGCAAGTTGTTCGTTCTGGCGCAGTTTGGCACAAATGGCACAGCAGTTCCATCACTGGGTACAATGTGATGCGCACTAATAGATTTGATGACATCTTTTTAGCTCGGAGGAAAAAAAAACGGCAATTGTTTATTGGCGTTAAGAACTTCGCGCATTGCACAAAACTGAGCGCATAAATTGGTTTCTTGACTCATCATGCTGGGATTTATTACAGAGGTGCCTGAAGTTGGTGGAGGCTTCCGCTAAAATTGTGAAAAGCTTGTCCCACCCGAGTAAACTAAAAAAATGAAAAGCTGTTTTCCCTAGCACATGTAAACTGAAAAAAATATGTGCTACTGTGGCGCTTATTTGGGCCAAATGAAGTGAAGAATATGTAAGCGAATTCAATTTTCTTTCCATTTGACAAATTTTTCAGTGGTCGGCAGCATTAATGACACGCTTCCTGGCACCAGAAAGAGGGGAAAAGGCGTGTGAGAGCGTAGCTTCAACACAGTCTAGATAAGAAAGCCTAAGTGCTGAATTCTCCCGCGCCAGCGAGGCGACCGTAGGGCGCGAATTGAACAGGACTGCCGCGACAGAATTCGGCTGGGACTCGGGTTCTCTCCGATTGGACACGAGTTCCTGCTGAACGCTGACGCAGCAGCACTCGCATTCAATATGCGCCCAACAGTCACTTCTTCGAGTGACGCAGGCAAATTCATCACTTCGGCTTTCTAATCTAGGTAATGATACGATTCTTGCCACCAGAAAAAAGGGGGGAAAGGGCGTGTGAGAGCGTAGCTTCCACTGCGTTAATGATAAGCTTCTGGCCATAAGAAAAGCAGACTGACCCAATCCTCTCCCAACCTGCAAAGAAAAAAAACTAAGAGGAGGACAAAGTTCCACATGACCTCAGCTCAGAAGAGAGGACCAAACTCCTGGGGAAGAAGAGAGGTCCAGATATAAAGAGAAAAAAGAGGAAAATGGCAAAGCATCAAATGTATGTCAGTCCTTTCCGGTTTATTAATCTTTCAAAAATCAAATATAGTATAACAAAGGTAAATAAATAATCTACAGAAGCAAGCCCACAAGACATGCCTCATGCTTCACAAGCACATCTATATACAACTTTTGGCATACGAAGCAAAATTTAAAGCATTAAATTTCTTCAACTCCGTGTCCTACCCCACAGCTAATATAGATAGAAAATGGAAACAACAAAAAATGTTGACGCTGAACAGTTCTCAAAACATAAAATTGGTGCAAAAGAAAATGTTGTAGAGGCAGTTATGCCTTTTCCTGAAGTTCCTCAGTAGATGAAAAAAATATCCAGAGTTAATTGACAGGTACAAAATCACCCGACTAATTGTGTTTGCATGACCACAACAACCCATTTGAAATGTTACGCTGCTTGCTACAAAGCAAACTCAATCATGTGTTTACTACGAACCAAAGGTGAATTATGACCGCAAGAGGGACAAATAGAGCAATCCTCAACATACCACCGAACAGCTAACTTTAGGCAGTAGCTATGCGTTGCTCCAAACTTGCATGATAGCATTTTGTTCCCTAGGGACTGCTCAAATCAAACGAAAATTAAGAGATAAACACACATCACCATAAGAGAATAATACATTTTGAGTTATTGATACAACCTAGCAATTGTGAAGCAAAAATCTTTTCTCTCTACATGACACCGGCATGCGGCTTTCATTCGCTAATGAAAGTTCTTCAACTAGGGCGTTCCGCAGAGCCAGCACTGATCAAGGTTTGGGCTATGTCCCCCTATCCAGGGTGTCCTTGATCTCTGTCAGCAGCTTGTCCAAAAACAGCTCCACAGGTTCATCAGGCCTTCTTCGCAACGATGCTGAGTAGAGCTGCTTCCACAATGTAGTGGCACCTTCGTTTCTGAAATCGAGTTTTGTTTACAATTTATGATAATGTGACTGAAAAGATCTAAAGCAAAAAACAGAAGAGTAAAAAAGTTGTGCAAAAACTTTTCTCGGATAGCACAGTCCAACCCAGTTACAACGGACCCCTGCATCCCCTGACCAATGCTAAATATAACAAACAATAACAAACTGCAGGTGCTTCTTCTGGAGTGGCTTAATGATTTCGAGATACCCCTAATCATCTTTAATTACTTTATGAGCCTAGAAATTCAGTGGGCTATAACAGTGATCTATGAGCTAGGCCCGTCTATGGATGTGCAATTCAGTGAGCCTCGAACAATTCAGTGAGCTACGAGCCATGAGCAATTCAGTGAGCTATGAGCTATGAGCAATTCAGTGAGCTATGAGGTACGCCTGTCAATGGATGTGCAATTTATTCAGACTCCTCCAAAAGATGCAACAACCAATTTGTACTTCAAAAAGGTGCCTCGCCTGCAAAACAACTCATGCAGAGAGACCCTCTATAAGAGCTACCAACTCTGATTCAACACTTTTACAGAAATCTAATAAAACTAAATCTAAAAAAATGCTTATCATTTGCGAGGCTTTTTAGGAATTACTTTTTGAAAAAGCAAAATACATCATGTTTACTGTAGTATCAGCCTTTTTACAATATAGTAATGCCTACAGCAGCATTGCAAGCTTGCCAAAACAGTTTGACTTTCTGTTCAAAAAGTTCTAATAAATATGCAATGCCAATGCAGTACTTCCGAAAATCCCTGCACGCAACACTGCACCTGTTGCATTACAAGACCCGGTTGGCCATGAAATCACAACATCGAAATGTTGCGATTCCACCGCATAATCGCGAGGCAAAAATGATAATATTTCCAGACCTGCAGCTGCGAGCGGCGGCCATGAGAACCACACAGCATGACGTCGATGGGGGACTTGTAAAAAGATAGCAAGCTGTGCAAATACCTGCTCGATAAAAGGTAGTTTTTCTATAAATCTTATCATTCCAACGTAAATATAAATGCGTCAGAAACTTGGAATCATCAACAACTTTTATTATATGTAGTTCTAGTGGTGCCATCTATACGAGGTCAACGAAAACGCTACTGCGAACAGTTGCCAGAAGCAGGAGGGAGACCGGGGCAGAGCCGGACGTGGATGGCCGGACCCGGACGAGACTTTCCTTCTTTCTGCTGTTGATCGCGCTGCACAAGCACGTGGTCATGTGCTCGCAAGCAGGTGAGTTCTCGCTGCTCACTGACGACTCTAGAGAGCTTCACCGGAACCCCACGTGTCCCCCTTTCCCGTCACAGCGCACGTGACTCGGGAGATGGTGAAGGAGTTGAGGTGCCGAAAACCTCAATCTTTGTCAATTTTTAAAATAAAAACTAGGACATGCAGGCAAAAGCGGTTTTTTCTTCTTTACTTCAGAAAGGTCGAGACACCAACTTCCAAATTATTTAAGCAAAGCACTGAAATTGTTGCACAGCTCCTTTAAGATTGTTCATTACAACGAGATGCGACAAATCTGGAAATGACACATTGTGTTAATAATTATTTCTGACTGTACAAGCTTTTTTGTGCACTAATAAAGAAGGCATTTTTTAAAGTGTGCTGGTAGAATTTGTTTTTTTCATGTGTGGAATATGCACTAGGTGTGCACTATCTAAGGAAATACTTTTTCCGCTAAAATTCGAACCCACGGACTCTAGAGTTATTACAATGCACACTAGAGGTTCAGCCGGCACCGGTGTGCGGTTTGAAATTGAAGCATATAGCAACCAGTTTGAAATTGACTTCTAGTAATGCCTTTCTATGGGAATAGGTGGGTGCATTTTCTCTTTGCACTTGATTATAAGAGCAAATATTATGAAGAAGTTTTATGCAACAAATAGCTTAAAACGTTTCTCAGTCGAGTAGATAAAGATAATGGCCAGTTTTACAAAGTTTTTATTCTAAATTTGTGGCAATAAACAGTGTAAAAAAGGGTTTATACATGCATTTCCTGTGTGTACTCGGCATCAACCCTGTCTACACAGCGGAAGCGGTGCGCTGTGGACTGCGTATATGCGACATCTGCTGGCGGACCTTGGGCCCGAGATAGCGCGCCTCTGAGCATGCGCCACCATTGTGCAGCACTGGGCAGATGCCAACGTTTGTGCTGACGTGGCTATGCTCTTCGTGGGTGTAACCCCAAAGGGTATCTCGAAAATCAAGAGAGGCAGCAAGAACTACGCCGTAACGCAGGATGAGTCCGTGCAGAGCAGTGTTGCGGAATGGGCACCCCCATTCCATTCCAATTCCATTCCGGGGAATAAGAGTTTAAGATAGGAATAGGGACACTGGGCCCATTCCCACTCCTGGAATGGCTGAATCGTTCCATTCCATTACACTTAATTTCTAAACATGAAAATTGGCCCTTGACCGCCACATTCTGTTGCCAGCATAAGCAGCATAAAGCTGACATTAACAAACGCATTGAAAATTGCAAACAAATGCTAACTGCCTCAAAAAAGCACTGATTTTACTAAGCGGAGTGCTGGTGGCACAAAGTGTTTGTTTACATTGTACTGCAAACATCAAGAGAGCCCCTTGATATGTCGACGCTGGTTTAAGACATCGGTCTCGGAACCACGTGGCTGGCAACAAACAGCAAAACCTAAATCCACCCATTTTTTTTTTTTTTTGGAAACTTTTTTGCATTTGATTTTTAGAACATATGCAGCCAGCATGTTTGTTTGATAAGACCATAAAAATATGCAGTTTGTGCATAGCGCAGAAATAAGCTATATTACTGTATTCTTCAAATACCTGCTCAGAAATACGGCTAGTACGCTGTTGGAACGACTCCATGCACAGCAGCAAGAACACATCATCTGACAAAGTGCAACCTCTACGGCGCAGTACGAGGGACCATATAGACTATGTCACGAAACCTGTTTTAAAACGCACAAGTTCACGCTTGCTTTGCGAGTCTCGATATTTCTTATCATATTCAATTCAATCCTTTATGTGTTTTCCAGGCGATTAATAGAACGTCTGCTGGGCACAAATATATATTTGTTCATTGAGGTAGGCTGTTCACGTTGCGGCTATGGGTCGCACAGTCAGCGTCAACAAAGCTAGCTTCACACCAAGATACAATTAACAGGGTAAAACCGCACCGTTCGAATTGACGTCTCTCCTCAACACCACCGTCCAACTGACTTCTGACCGCCTCAAACAGCATCCAGGACAAGGAGCACGAATGCAGACTGGACAGCCGAGACGTGCGGAAGCCAAAACCTCAGTAGCAGCTAGCACCCAGCTCTCCTTCTCAGTGGCCCTCACAGCAGTGGTTGTGCCTCGACTGGCGCGGGACTGTCTTTCTGCAGGTCTAGTCAGTTCGGTCACACGACAAGAGCGGTGACGATATATCTACTTCACCTTACGATGGACCGCAACAGACAGCACGGGAGCCATTGAAGCCAATCCAGTGCATGTAGTCCCGCTCACGGTGCTGGATAGCCTGTGGCGACTCATAGCGTCCGCAGCGGTCCATCGCAAGGTAAACCAAAGTATGCAGAGGCTGAAGCCAAAGGACATGAGCAGGAATCCGCTAGCTTGCTTGTAACCCTAACCCACTTGAATGTAAAACATATAACACACAAAACAAGATCGGAACAAAGACCGAGTAAAAGGCGTAGTTACACGTAAAAATGCAGCATAAAAAACAAGTGTCGGAGCAAAGTGCAAGAGGAGTGAATAGGAGTGAATCTCGCTTTGTTTTAATGCCGAACCAAACCCACATTTCGCACTTCAAAGCAGTGTGCATGAATGAATGTGGAAGGCAATAGCATTGGCCACCTGCTAAACAATGCTCCTCCAACTATAAGAAAACAATAACTGATCATCTTTCGGCGGCACACGAGTCAATGATTTATCAGAGCTCTGCGAGTTATGAGCTGCCCCTGCTCCCAGATATCACTCTGTGCGTGCCTACGTTCTCCATGCCGACACAAAAAAACCCCCAAAAAACCAAGAAAAAATCAAGTTAAGAAGGAAAATGACGAGCGAGCCGTGCATGGCGGTTACTCTCTTTGCCGCTCCCTTCGTTTCTTTTGCTTGGTGCTTGGTTTCTAGTTTCGCTCTCGTGTAATGCCAGTGAAGCCCATCGCCTGCGGGTCCTGCGCGTCCATAAAATGCGCGTCCGCCACCGCCAACACCCCCCCCCCCTCCCCCTCCCCCTCTGCTCTTTGCATTGACGCTTGTTTTTTGTATTGCATTTTTTTGCCTATAAGTCTGTTAGGGCTCCACGTGGGCTAGCAGTTTCCTGCTCATTTTATTTCTGAGCAACTGACTCGCTGACTGGCTCAGTTTAGCTGACTATAAACTCTAAAAATGGGTTCATTCCATTCCCATTTTATTCCGGGCAAAAGGCATCTAATTCCATTACCATTCCATTCCCCTTAACGTTGCCGCCCATTCCATTCCCCCCATTCCATCCCGGGGTCGCGAAAATGTGGAATGATTCCAGAATCATTCCAACTCCAGAGTGGCAACTCTACTGGTGCAGAGTACCAAAATAAAGTGAAAGCCAAGTAATTAGTGCAATAGGTAATAAATTATACTCATGATGTAGAAAACCCGAGACTGGTAAAAGCAGAGAAACTTGGTCGAAGAAGAAAGACAGGGGAAAAGTATACGAGAAAATAGAAAAAGAAACATTATGGTCCACATACTTTTGCTGTCCGACATGTTTTTAACTGCTCGTAAAGTTGCAGAATGAAGGTCATTTTACTGACATAAATCTTGCAGATTATCTATTAGCGTTACTGGGATGTTGGCACACCTTGAACAAGCCCTGCCATCCTTTCAACTGTTATTCCTGTTTAGATGAGTCGTTTGTCTTTCCACACCATGCTGTGGAACATAGGACTGTCACTGAAATACTGCAGAGTTAATGCTCACTGATAAAAAAAAAATACTGGAACTAAAGCAAATACATTTTTATAATCTAATAAAGTTACCTACTATTCGCTACGACCCAAGTGACAAAGGTGATTCCTGTTTTTCTCCAGCAAAGAGTCATAATACACGCACATTTTCCCACAGGAATGCACAGGAGCACGTGCAAAAGTGGACTGGTTTCTGCCTGCTTCAATTTGAAACCAGAAGACCCGTAGACACTAGCACCAGCTGATCCTCTAGACTCCATACAGAAAACTCGGTAAATAAAATGCTAAAGCAGACCAAAAAAAAAAATTACAGGACACTCAAAACTGCCTATGTGTAGGAATGGCATTCCCACATGCACGCGCAGCGCATTTCTACAAGCAACGCGCCCCGCTGTCCGCGGTGCGACATGGCCGAAAGCAGAGCGCAGAACACGTCAGGAGTGGGAATTTCCCGCTCCCCCTTCCCCCACCCTCTGGGCCTCCCACCACGCCTGACACATGACCCGCGAGAGGGGGAGAGAGGGATGGCAAAGTGCGAGCCAACCTTTCCCTTTTACCGGCGGGCGGGCCGTAGTGCCATGAGGAGGGCTTCTCAGTGGGGTGGCGTTCCTTGGAACTATGACGCACGGCAGCCAATGGGAATTTATTCCTCAATACAGACAACGCCAGCTTCGCTCCATGGGACACGGGAATTGAGGTGCTTTTTTCTTAGGCCCCATTTTTTCGCGGCTCCAACGCTGATAACGCCGGTTCGCTCCATGAAACAGTTAATGCTTTTGCATTAAAAAAATTCTTACAATAAAGAGGCTTCGGTAGGGTGCTAAAGAATTGTAGAAGTGTTGGGTAAGTCCATGGAGACACTCAAAACTGAAAGAAATGTGAGGCAATGTCATCCCTCACCTGTGTTTGACAGAACTGTGGTGCAGCTTAAGTATGCTCTGCAGCGTCGCCTGGATCCGTTTCTCGAGCAGCATCAGCAGAGCCTTCCTGTCCTCCAGCTCATCGAGGTTCTCGGAATCACTGGCCTGACCGATCGACACAGCATCCAGCTTCTTTGCTTCAGGCCGCAGGCTGCCAATCATCTTGTGCGATGTAAGGAACAGCCGCAAGAGCGACTGCAGCCGACTGACCTTCGAGTTGAAACCCTGAAGACCTAGAAGATGTGACAACACAAGTTTACACATGCTTGCATGCTTGCACTTACACTAAAACCCTGTTGATATGTTTTAGAGGACTGCGATAAAGAAAAGTATAACATGGAAAGATGCAACAACTGTTAGTGGCATTGGGGACCTATAGACGAGACCGGAACACACTTTCACACAGCGAGCCCTTGTCGCACAGTACTTTCACAGCTGTGGAGAACTACAATATTTATTTAAATCGAGATGTACTTTTTTTCCCCCAAAACTCTTCTTTAACCCTTTGACGGTAGAGGTTTTTACCCAAAAATGTTTTGCAGCGGTCGGGTTTTGTTTGCAAAAAAAGCTCGAGCTATACCTAAGCACTTCTTATGAGTTGTGAATGCGAAAGCATGCAAGCCGCTCGTCCGCTCCCTTTTTCGTCTGCTGCATACTTTTCGTCGCCGGTCAGCGCGCGTGCTCCCCTGGTGACCTTGGACGCTGAGTGTTAACGGTGAGCTGATGGACACGCAGCGCCATGGGGTGAGCGGTCGTGGAAACTGACAAGACCAGTGGCCAATGGAAGCCCCGTCGACGCGCACCAGCCAATGGAACCGAAGGCGAAATCGCAGGAACTAGGTGCATTTTCAAGCTTCAAACTGATGACGCCGCCTCGCTCCATGGGACCCCAGTTAATGCTTTCGCATTAAAAATAGTATAAAGAAAGGGTCAATGAACAGCTTTTTTTCGTTATTTAGTGGAAGCACTGCATGCAGTGCTTCCAAGTTATTCAGGTTTAGAAGCATAAGATGGAAATATATTTAAGGCCGAAAGTTGTCACCTTTCTTCCATTCGATTTCATTTTGGCGTGTCCGTTAATGCGACATTCTGGTGGTTTCAGATTTCGAACCAGAGTTGCTTTACAGAGCTTCTTCATAGGATGGTAAGCCCTCATCTTCTTAATTTAATTCTGAGGAGCGTTAAAAGTCTAAGTCAAGGGCTGGCACTCCAATTGTTACATCCACCAGAGCAGCCGACATGCAGAACCACCATCTCATGCGTATCACATGTACAGAGCATCTAATTTTAAAACTATAAATAGCCCCAGCAAAGTAGAACACCGGGCAAATATACCGTAAAATACCGAGCATGGGCCCGTGTCACATTAAGGGCTCACCCCCTAGTTTTGAACAATTTCAAAAACAAACAGAGGACAACCGCCCACCCCTCATTTTAGGCAAATTTAAAAAAATATGCGAAGGACATGGTAAGCGCCCAGTCGCCGCGGACGGCCGTTATCTCCTAAAGTTGAAGCGACCAGCACTAGTTACGAGTCACGACAGTGCAGGCGAAGGGGGCGAAGGGCACCGCGGGAATCGGGTGAATGGCTCCGGCGCAACACGGCAACACTGGCGCCGCGGGAATCGAGGTCAAATGACAGAAATAACAAAAGATACAGGCGAGCTGGTGTACAAAGGAAGAGAGGCAAGGGCACGGTGGCAAGAGTGAAGCAGTGAAGATACACTGCGTTGGAAAGGAGGATCTAGCAAATGAAAAGCCGCACAGAGCTTAGCGTGAGTGCTGCACACGTGCCGTGTGCCATGTGCCTCTGCCCCTCCGCTTCCGCTTGTTGTTCAGTGGTTCGGTTAGTTCCGTGTTAATTGCGCTGCATTGCTTGCGTTCGCTCAGGTCGCTTGTTTGGATGATGCACTCGTATACAGTCGCTAGGAAAGTCAAAGTTGTTGAATGGCATAGGCACCACGCAAAGAATGTAAGCCGGACATCACGTGAATTCAAGATTGACCGTAAAAGAGTGCGCGAGTTGGACTCAAAATACGAGCTGCTCCTGCAACAGAACCACGGAAGATCACGGCTGAAACGCAGGCTAAGTGACAGGGCGCCAGTCTTCAGTGAAGAGGTTGATGATGCCTTATTTGAATTCTTGGAGGATAGACGCAGGGCTGGCCGCGCAGTCAGCAACCGGCTTTTAGACGAAGAAGCAAGAAAGATTGTGGACGGACTGAACCTGGGGAACTTCAAAGCGTCGTCGCAGTATGTGAAACGGTGGAAGAAACGGTTAGGTGTGTCCATGCGGGTGTGCACGAATGACAGCCAGAAGGCGCCATTAGTGCTTCTTTTCTTTCATTTCTCTCAATAAACTGTTCATATCCATGCTTCTTCAAGGTTTCTCTGCTTTTATACGTTTGCATGCTTGGCGAATGACGGCCCTTTTCCAAGTGCATCAAATGGCCGCCATTTTGAATTCGACGGTCGGGCCGAGCAAGGGCCCACCCGACTACGCGATCCTTCTGTGTTTTTGCTCTCGAACCTAACAAGCGCCCATCCCCGAGTTTTCCGCGATTATCCCATAATTTTGAGGGGGCGCTTGCTCGGTATTTTACGGTAATGTTCATAGTTTGCCAAAGACGTAACAAATAGCAACACCTCTCACATCGCAAACGGTTTCGCGTTTATGTGGGCACTTTCACGTGACCGTCAAAGGGTCAAAACTAGGGGCTTATCTATATTCGTATCCACAAAATGTAGACCTATAAGAGCAAGCAAAGTTTCCGAGTGCATTGAGTAACGCAGATACTCCCTCACATCAACCGCTGCTCTTAGCACGCCGGTGTGAAGCGGTGAAGCTTGAGACACGTGCCGGTACAAAATGGTATATATAAAGCTCGAGCAAGTGTAATGCACGTGATGCACGATTACAAACTTCTAAATCAGTGCAAAATTAACCTAGCAAAACCAAGAAAATTGAGCAGAACAGAAGAGCACACACACACTGGAGAAAGATGGCAAGATAAACGGGAGATTGAAAGCCTGAATTTAAGCCTAGTTCAAGGTCATGCCTACCCTGGCAAGAATGGCAAGTACAGTTTAGAGAGGCAGAGGTGAAAAGGAAAAAGGAGGAGTGAAGCAAAATGGAGAGTGTGGCTACGGCCTTATACACCGAGTTGGCCGTGTCAGCTGGCAATTTTTCAACTTCAGAACAAGCAGGGTTTGTACAGGCTTCAAAGGAAAGGATTTTTAAGGGCCTGTAAAGATATATTTATGGACCCCTTTAAATACTCTATGTACTACATAGAGTATTTACATTACATTACTACATAGAGTATTTACATCACTACCATAGAGTTACATTATAAATTTACTACATAGTATGTAGTAAATTTATAATGTAACTAATTTTTAAATAGATACTGCAACAATTTTTTATTGCACAATACCTAGGATAAGGCAGATTTGCCTAAGAGGTGCTAGTCAAGGGTTCAGTAGAGCTACTGCAGCTTCTCCTTGACCTCCTGGTCAGGGATGGAACTGGGCAAAGCATCTTTGGAGCAATCTTGGGAGCAGAAAAAACTGCAGTTTGGAGCAATCTTGGGAGCAGAAAAAACTGCAGTTTGGAGCAAACTTGGGAGCAGAAAAAACGGGAGTTTGGAGCAACCTTGGGAGCAGAAAAAACTGCAGTTTGGAGCAATCTTGGGAGCAGAAAAAACTGCAGTTTGGAGCAATCTTGGGAGCAGAAAAAACTGCAGTTTGGGGCAATCTTGGGAGCAGAAAAAACTGCAGTTTGGAGCAATCTCGGGAGCAGAGAAAACTGCAGTTTGGAGCAATTTCGGGAGCAGAAAAAACTGCAGTTTGGAGCAATCTTGGGAGCAGAAAAAACTGCAGTTTGGAGCAATCTCGGGAGCAGAGAAAACTGCAGTTTGGAGCAATTTCGGGAGCAGAAAAAACTGCAGCTTGGAGCAATCTTGGGAGCAGAAAAAACTGGAGTTTGGAGCAATCTTGGGAGCAGAAAAAACTGGAGTTTGGAGCAATCTTGGGAGCAGAAAAAACTGCAGTTTGGAGCAATCTTGGGAGCAGAAAAACTGCAGTTTGGAGCAATCTTGGGAGCAGAAAAAACTGCAGTTTGGAGCAATCTTGGGAGCAGAAAAAACTGCAGTTTGGAGCAATCTCGGGAGCAGAGAAAACTGCAGTTTGGAGCAATCTCGGGAGCAGAAAAAACTGCAGTTTGGAGCAATCTTGGGAGCAGAAAAAACTGGAGTTTGGAGCAATCTTGGGAGCAGAAAAAACTGGAGTTTGGAGCAATCTTGAGAGCAGAAAAAACTGCAGTTTGGAGCAATCTCGGGAGCAGAAAAAACTGCAGTTTGGAGCAATCTTGGGAGCAGAAAAAACTGCAGTTTGGAGCAATCTTGGGAGCAGAAAAAACTGCAGTTTGGAGCAATCTTAATTGGGAGCAGAAAAAACTGCAGTTTGGAGCAATCTTGGGAGCAGAAAAAACTGCAGTTTGGAGCAATCTTAATTGGGAGCAGAAAAAACTGCAGTTTCGAGCAATCTTGGGAGCAGAAAAAACTGCAGTTTGGAACAATCCTGGGAGCAGCATAAGAGTTTTAGGAATGCTAAAATAGAGGCCAAATGTCACTGGTTTTCAAAACTCAAAGAAATATGGCATGCAGATAACTCAGTGATGTGACTGGCCTAAGCCGTTTTGGAGCACCTTTCGGAGCAGCCAAAACAGAGTTTTGGAGCAGCAAAAGTGGCCTTTGGAGCAGCAACAACAGCGTGTTGGCGAGGAAAAAGTGGCTTTTGGAGCAGCCAAAACGCCTATTCGGAGCTGAAAAAGTGGTTTTTGGAGCAGATATTCTTATAAAAATAAAAATATTTGTTTTCAGTGCTGGACAAACGAAGGATACTTTGTTCACTGCAATCAACAAATTATGGTCAAGTTAGACCACCTGGGAGTCATTCAACATGTAACTGAAATGCCAGTGACATGACACATTTTGCAGTGCTTCAGTTAAATGATACATATATATGTACCTGTTATAGATAAATATGAACCGAACTGCACATATAAACCTTATTTGAAAATGACCAGCTTAGTAGTAAATATCACAGCATTAGGTTGGCCAGTTATATAATATATGGAAGCAGTCTTAGGCTGATGAAACACGTAACTACTGCAGTGCAATGCGAAATTGTACACAAGACAAAGGTGCATTATGACTAGCGGGTGCTTTCGTTTTTGCTTTTCGAAACTTTCTGCAAGGCTGCTGCAAGCCTTACTTTGCCTTCGGCTAGTCATGAATGTCCACTTGCAATGCCTCCAAAGAGACATTGAGACATCCCACAAGTGTACATACATTGCTGTAGGCGTCGCCGAGCAATTCCGAAAAACCGCTTGCCACCGTTTTAATGGATCCCAACGTGCCCGATTTTCGTCAAAAGTAAGGAAACGTAAAGCAATGGATTGCAAGCGTCCCGGCTGGTGCCTCTGTGGTGCATTCATGTTCGCATGCACATCAAGGCAACTTTGGCAGGCTTGCAGTTGCACGTGCTTCGTCGTGCTAGCGGAGATGGCTGTTCGATCGAAATGGAAACCATGCCACTCTGCTCGGTCGCCAACAGTAGGGTGCCTCAATGTCCTTCTGTTTAGGGTGATGCCACTCTTTGTAGTACCCGATGCCGACAGCACGTGCTCACAGGTAAAATACAAAGAAATCGACGAAAACAAAATGTCGCCATAGCACAGTTAGCGCTACAAATGCGTGCAGGGTCACGCTCTTTCACGTGCTTCTGAACAAAAAAGAAAAATAAAAGTGTGGGACAAAATGGCCAAATGTCTCCACCCTAAGCAAAGCACACATAAAGGCAACCTAGCCAACAGGTTCCCAAAATTGTATTCAAAATGTAACTATTCAGTCAAAAAACAGTCCAGCGGCACGTGTTGAAGAAAATTTAAAAAGCCGCAAGACGAGACCCACGAGACGGCAAGAGCGCAAAACGAGAGACAGCCGGAAAAACAAAGCAAGACCGGATGGACGATTGATGTAGGGTACATTCTGTTGGACGGCCGCATGCGCCACCTAGCTCACGCATGCTCAATTACGGCACTCAGTTTAGTTTCGGTTTTGAAAGGCGACCAAAATTAATTCTTTGGCGCAGGCTTGGCGCAGATTACCCATATTTTGGCAAAAAGTAGCAGGATGTAGCACGGTTGGGCCCTCGGCGCAGTTTGGCGCAATTGGGGCAGCAATCACATCACTGGATAGCTTCATGTGAATAGTAGTTTCAATTAACATTTTAATTGAAACATTTTTAAAGAAATTACATAAAAAATTACACGAAATATATAAAGCAAAACTGCATGAAAGTGTGACACGTGATGAAACCAACTTGCAAAAAGGTAAATATAAACAAAGAGGCAGAAATAGTTTTCAGCTCGTACCTCGCTCCGTCACACGCCTCACTGCTCACTTGCCTTTCTTATGTTCCCAACATTTCTGTGCGGGGTTTCAAGGTGGGCAAAAGCAGGCTGCGGGCTTGCAATGCATTTTTCCACAAAAGCATATTAGGGTGCGTTCATTGCTGTGTTTGTGTGTTATGCACGTGCAGTTTCTGGCTGGACGCAATTGCGAGCAAGCGCTGGCTGGACTGATTTTGCACGTGTGGACACTGGGTGGCGCATTAACTTAAATACATTTGAGTTTATCGGAACATGGCGGCGCTGTTTGCTCCACTATTCAGATGAAGTGACTCCAGGACTCCAGAAAAGCACACAGCAACAGCAGTTATTCTTCGTTTCAGCTTATGTCCAGACGCAGCTGATACTACAAGCGCCAGCATGTGGTCTTGAACAGCGCTCGCAGTGCACGAGCGCACAATCTTGGCAGGGATGCTGAAGGCCCGGAGCTCACGCTTGTAGCACTTAGGCGAAGGAGAGCGCAACAATGAATGGCTTCAAAGAGGTCTGGGGCCCTAAACTCGTCAAACACAAAGTCGGGGCCGAAGTTGACAAAGCGGACCGATTGGACAGTCACGATGATGACTTCGCGTTTTTGCCGCCGACGTCCAATCAGCGCGCTTTGCGAACTTTCGGCTCCGGTTTTGTGTTCGATGAGTTTAGGGCCCCTGGTAGCAGAAGCATTGCAATGAGGGATGCTGTAACAACTGTTATAAGCTGAAACGAAGTCTAACTATGGCAGCGACCACTGTGGCAGCGACTTGAGCTTGGGATTCGGATTCGGATCCACTGGCGTTCCCCTTCGGCCAGAAGTTCCGATGTCAAAGTCGCCAAGAGAAACTGTGAAACGGCTAATTTCGACGAGGATTGTTTATAATTTCAGTTTGGGTGCACCTTGGTGCAATTTCGTTCTTATTTATACTTTTGTATCAGTGTGGCGCATGAAAAGTCAATAGGCGCACAATGGCGCAATTGTCGCAGCAGTTCCATCTCTGCCTGGTTGATATTTAGAAGTTCTTAAATCTTGGTTTTCGCCGTTTTCCTTAGGCTGTTCGACTTGACAATGTAGGTGATGTCACCTGTTGCCTCTGCTTTCTCAGCGATGTGATTAGCTGAAGCTGTCAGATCAGCGACCATTGTGGCCAGGCACTTAAAGGGCATCCGCTAAATGTGTCTAAATGTGCCATATAAGAAAACTTCCTCGTTGGAATTTTAAAATTTAAGTTAACATACATGTAAAAATAATAATTATATTTTATTATTGTAACAAAAATTAATTATTGCCAAAACAAAAAACTTACTATATCATGGGGATATTTAAGACTTTTCAAGCACTGCTAAAAATGCCACGGCTTTCAAAGTCTAGAAAATGCTGTTTTCAAATTCCAGGGTTTTCATGGTTTTCAAGGACGTGTGCGAACCCTGACAAGGAAGCAAATGCAACAAATGGCAAATTGATACACTTGTCCTTGACCATCTGCAGCATAATCAAGGTTTTGCTGCAGCTAAATATGCAATGTCGGATGAGAGGCCAAATTAAAGCTTGTCCTTGACGTTTCGTGAAACATTGATAGTTCACAATTTAACTCCTTAGCCTTTTAATGCCCAGTATTGCTCAGGAGCAACAACTCAATAATAATTTAATTTCTCACACGCCATATGCACCTGAATAAATTCAGTGCCCTCTGCCGCAAGGGCGAGCATACCTGCACTTGGCAGTCAAGAATCAAATTGCAGCTTCAAAATGGATCATTTGTTCTTTAAAAACTGAAGTTCACAGTGGCCGCGAGGTATGATGGCATGCCCCACTAAAGTGCACCTGTGCCTTCTCCCAGGTAGTAACTGTTTTCTATCATTGGACATAAAATATTGCTGCAAATGCGTAATGTTGCTTACGAGCGACATTTCAAAAACATAATTACGAAAAAAGGTAATTTTTTTTAGACCAGATTTGTGTATTTTGTGTGTTCTCAAACCACGTCACGGTTTCTATATCTCCAGTATTTCAAGTGACGGGCATAAAGGGTTAAGGATTTGATGTAGACTCATATTTTAGCTTAGATGTAACTCCAACCAAGCTCACGTTTTATGCTATATACTGCAGACTTTGTCCAGTTCAAAGAGGTACAGTAACTCAGAAACCGCGCCACTGCACCAGATGACAAGGAGTGACTGCCATAGGCACCATACAATATAGCAAGAAGGGAAAACTTGTCCTATTCTTTCCTTTCCACTGGTGGCTGTCCCAGGTGGGAGGGAACCCCAGCATGAGAATTAATAAGAGTGCCAATCATGAGCACACACAAATGCATACAAATTTCTCCACTGCTTATGCCCATGCTGAGTTAGTCCCTTAGAGAAATTCAATGTCCCATGAGCCACTAAACGTGTACAGTCAAAAGCTTTTTTAGGTAAGTTACACTAGATGCAGACGTTATGCGGTAGGACAGTTTTTTTTAATTTTTTTTTATTAGAATATTTAAGTTTTAACGTCAACAAGCAAACAGAAAACTTAGAAGGCGATCAGTACCTGCAATTTGTAATTCCAGTAGCCCAGCGTGTTCCAGAAGTACACGCATAAACTCTGTCACATTTTCCATGTTTTCAAACAAGAACTGTGCTCGTTCATAGTAGTGCTCGGCCAGTGCTTTCTGCTGTTTCCGTCTGCTTTCTTCGGACATCTGCACCCATAAAGCACAAACAGTTGGACAAGACACTCTCAATACATGTCCTTGCAGTTCATCAAACCTAAAATAAACCACTTTAATTCCAATTCAAAGATTTAAAAAAAAAAAATTATAACATCAGCTAAGGGCATAATGAGAAACCTGAGACTAGGATGGAATGTTCAAAGTGAAAACAGACAAAGCAATCATTATGTTGTTTAAACCTTTCAATGATGACTTAAAAAAAGCTAAGAGGAATATTTAATCACTATTGAGGAAATATGAATTTCTTGCTGTATCTAGTTCAAAAAGTTGGGAGAAGTAACGGTGTCGACGTTGAGAGTTAAGTTGTTGAAGGATCATAAGGAGGAGCCTCCCCACAAGAGTTGTGATAAATGAAAATGGAGCTTGACAAAGGGTTTTTCCAGTGTTCTTTCAGAAATATTTCGCACGAGTAGAAATTGCTAGTTCTTTGTAACTAAAGAACTTGGAGCAGCTGATTAAGTTACTAGAGCCACATCACCGGAAATCGGAGCGTCCGCCCACGCCCGCGTCTGTCGTTAAAAAAATTGTAAAAAGACGCGAGACGAGACTTTCTAGACGACAAAAGCGCAAAACGAGAGACGACGGGAAAACCCATGCAAGACCGCATGGACTATTGATGCAAGGTACTTTGTGTCGGGCGGCCTGGCCGCTTATGCATGCTCAATTACGGTACTCAGTTCAGTTTCGGTTTTGAAAGGTGACCGAAATCGGTTTTTTGGCGCAGGCTTGGCGCAGATTACCCGTATTTTGGCAAAATGAAGCAGGATGTAGCAGGGTTCGCCCCTTGGCGCAGTTTGGCGCAATTGGCGCAGCAATCACATTACTGCTCTTACAGTCCGGCGCAGTGGCACCCCTCACCTGAAATGGTGTGTCCCCGGAATATCATAGCTAACCTCAACAATTTTAGTATACTATCTTCATTTTGGTGTGTGAAAGTAAAGTTATTTCTTTTACTCTAAGCATTAAATATACCGGAAAGTAAAACTTCACACTGCATCATCTTTTCTCGAATCACTAGTCTCTAATATGATACCTCTTTGTACGCTGTATGTAAAATGCTGTATATAGTTTCTCCTCACTTTTAGTGTGTGGCCGATTGCTCTAGTTGTCAGTGACCTCATCTGAATAAAAATATATGAAAGATGTGTGTTAGTTTCCTGAAACTGGAGCTCAGAGTCACTTCTCGTATGAGGCACTGCTAAGTGTAGCCTTTGAAAAAGGACCCTACTTTGGGGAGTTGTGTCTTCTTTCTCAATAAAATAATGCAACATGTCTTTAATAGAAATGAATGCCGAAATAGAGTACGACAGGGTACCCAAATTGAAAAAAAATCGAAGGTGTTTTTTTTTTATTTGCATCCGAATTTTTGTTGTTTGATTTTTTTCTTATGTTTGCCTAAATATGTCCCGACTATCGTATCACTCAGATACCTTATTTATTTTTTAAATAATAGCTATATATAAGTAAACTACTGCCTGCAAATTATATGATAATGATTGAATTATTTTATGAGATACAGGCCTCCACATTTTGCCATTTGTCATTCGAGCAGGCATGTTTGGCAATTTTTAGAAACATAAATAAAATTTAAATAAATATTATTACTTTATATTACAAGCAAGCTGTAGCCGTACATTGTTTTTAAAAAGTATCAGAATTATTCTAAATTTACCCCTTTAGTTATTCTCTTTCAAACATGCCCTCCTCCATCAGTACGCGTGAATGCAACTGTCCACCTCTTCATGCCTTACGATTTTTCCTGTCCCCAAATATTTTTTCTGGTCAAAACTAAGTATGGATTAGTTTATACCAGACACTAGACAATGGCATATAAAAACATCAGTTGATTTAAAAATGTCGACCAGCCACCCTTTGGTCATCTTATCTGAAATCACCCTGCTTCTGTCTCGCCGTAACTAACAAATCCTATTTCAGCCAAAGTCACCGTTGGCACTGCAATCATTAAAAATTTTGTGATTCGAAAAAATACCAAATTATGTCAAAATAGGGAGCGGGTTATCTTTCAGGGGATATTACCATAATATCTTTCAAGATATTATGGTAATATCAAATGTTGACTTAATTAAAAAAATATAGTACTTACTATAACGAGAACAAGAATTACCTAAAGCTTCTAAGACACTGCAGTTCTGGCTCAAAGTGAATCTAGAAGCTGCAAGAACCTATTTGCAATCAAAACCAATGACCTCTTCAATTGAGTACCAAGAGCATACTGTATCACTGTGGTTATCAGTGGGGCGATCACGTTAAATACTACATCACAAGGCCACTGAGTCTGGTAGCACTGTACCAGCATGATCAACAAAGGTGTTGCACAAGATTTAAAAAGGAGCTCTGCTATGCCTTTCATATTAAATTAACAGATTTTGATCTGTCACCTAACAAGACAATGTATTATAACGAAATTCCACGCCTAGCCATACACATAAAAAATGTCTAACTGCAGCATCCTACCAGCAACAAAAATATTTTATTATTTGAATGTTATCACAAAATATTTCGGTATGCCATCGATCATCTTCAAGTCGATGCAGTTTTTATCGATCTGTCAAATGCGTTCGATCGAGTACCCCATTGTAAATTAATGAATGTACTAAATGATCTTGGAGTTTACTCATAGGCTGGATTAGAGCATACCTCACATATTGGCAGCAGTTTGTAGATGCTAATGGCACTTTTTCAGACTTTTTACATATGCACTATGGAGTTTCACAAGGCTCTGTATTAGGACCTATGCTTTTTTAAATATATGTTAACAGTTTGTTTTGTATAGACAGAAACGAGCACATGAAAATCGCAATGTTTCCAGGTGATCATATAATTAATGCTTGTGCTCCAACCAGATAAACTGAAACAACAAACCATCTTGAATATCATCATGGTGTAATGAAAACATGATGATTAACACCAGAAAAACAATACATGCAATTTACAACAAAGAAAAAGATATGGTCTTTTGATAACAAGCTTGAGGGTATTAAGCTCGCCGAAGTTGATAACGTTGTAAATTGCATGTACTGTAAAATCCTTTATTTTTGTGGCCTCTATTTTTCGCAAATCGGTCACAGAGGACATTATAGTGGCCACTAAATTTCGTGAATTACAGACGCCTGCATTAAAAATCTTAAGGACCGAAATTTTCGTGTGCCCTTAAGTTCCACAAATTTTTCAATTCGCAAAAATTGCGAAAACTAAGGGCTCGCAAACATTCAGGGTTTTACAGTATTGTTTTTCTGTTGTTAATCATCACGTTTAGCCTATATGGGTGTGATTATCTCGAACAATCTTAAAGGGACACTGACAACTACTTATGCATGTCGATGTTTTTATTTGAACATGACCTATGAAAGCCCAACTATCCAGAACACAATTTGTGGCATGAAATTCGTTTTCTTTCCGCCCAAAACCGCCGGTCGAGAATGGGCCGGTTTCAGGCTGGCTCCCTCTCCTTTCCAAAGTCCTATGCCAGGGGTGGCCAAGCTGCGGCTCTTCGCATGTGAAAGTGCGGCTCGCGGCTGCCTCCCCTACCCCTAACCCCTCTCCACCTTCTCACCCCCCCCCCCCCCCCCCCCCCCCCGCACTTCCCTAAAAAGAGAAAGGGAACGCGTTTTAAAGTTTTTAATCGAAAGACAGGTTGCAGTCGGTTGGGTAGTCTTGTGCTACTGCCACTACTGCTACGTTACGTACAGCTGGACTGCTTTTGGCTCGGATAGATTTAAAGTAGTTTGAGTTTCGTTTATTGCTCTGGACAAAAGTTTGACCCGACCCCCCCCCCGCGGCTCTTGAAAGCTTTGTGGTTTTGTTAACGGCTCTTAGGCCGGGTCAGCCTGACCACCCCTGTCATATGCCGTTCAAACATATGTATACCAAATATATTCGAAGTCATGGGTCATCTAAGGCACACATTCAATATTAAAAAAAGAAAAGAAAGAAGACGCAAAAGATGGGGTATCTTTTGTGGCTCCAAAGCAGCTGCAAATACGTCGATAGAAAAAAAAAAGTTGCACAGATCACAGGAAGTGCATGTACAGGTCATTCTCAATTTGGCAACGTACTGCTGGCTGGACAACGCGATGATGGCGAACGGCAGACCAACATTGCGACGAACGTGGGACCGCTTTTTCTAAACTGTGGTTCATGGCACCGGCCAATCAAAATTTGGGGGTTTTTACGTGCCAAAACAACAACGGGCATCTGACAGGCGCCAGCGGAGGACTGAAGATTAATTTGGACCACCAGAGGATCTTTTGACGTGCAACCAAAAGCTCGGTTGCACGGCGCCTTCTCCGCAATAAGCCTCCGTCAGATTGCGGGCACCTCGGCCGGGATTTGAACCCGCCACGTGGGGATCCGTAGGCCGGCGCTCTCGCCTCGAAGCCACCGTCACCGGCCAATCAATCTTCAAGCACAGAACAACGAGGGGAAGGGAAATAAGTATGAAACAATCGCATGACAAATGGTTCAAGCAACGTCCTCGTTGTCGTCATCTACTTCACATGCCCGAGAAGCGGAGGAACGGAAAAAAACTGGGCAGGAAGCGATAGTCATGCGACTTCCGGCAACTCTCTCCTCCGAGCTTCCGTGCACATGTTTTGGTTTCGGCTTCGAGCAGCTGCGTTTTTTTACTTTATTAGAATATTTGTGACTTTTTTGTGACTCTTTAGCAAAACATTGATTGGGTTTCTGACACCATACTAAATCAACATAATTGTAAACCTGAGACTGGGGCAGAAAAGAGAACACAACAGAATAGGGTTGTGCGAATATTCGAAATTTCGAATAGTAGTTCCGAATAATACACTATTCGATATTCGCTTCGAAAAGAACTGCACTATTCGCGTTTTTCGAAGTGTTGATTATGGCGGGTTGGCCCCGTTGAGTGCGCTTCTTACCAAGCACCGGTGCGTTGCGGAGAAGCAAAACCCGCGGATGTGAGCTCCGCGGGTGTTGCTTCTCCGCATTACATTGGTGCTCGCTAAGAAGCGCACTTAACGGGGTAACCCGCCGCGATAAACAATATCGTAATTGCGTGCTCAAAAAAGCATACATTCAAAGCGGGATGGTGCACCCGTGCCGACTGTATTTGAAAATAAATGGAAACTTTGTGAATGTGTATATCTACATTGTAGTAAAAGTTTCAAAATTAAACTTTTATGGAAGAGTATACTATGTTAGATAGAGATGATTTTACAACCTGTGTTCATCATGCGCGACTCATTCTTTTTTAACTTGAGATTAAAGAAAAAATATTTTATATATCAAGATTCGTAAAGTCACTCAATTGCTATAGTTGGCCATCTATATAGGATTCGTTTTATGTCAAATCCGTCGTTTACTTGCCATCCCAAGACACCAGACCTTCTGAGATCACAGTTCATAAATATAGATAGATTAAGCTTAGCTTATGAATAAAAAAGTGGAATAACCTTTACAGGTTTAGCTGGGTTTTCGTCTAAGCATTATGCAATGGTAGTGAAAGGCGTTAAAAAACTATTCGATATTCGAATCGAAAATATTCGGCCAAAACCACTATTCGCTTCGAATTCGCTTCGGACTCAAAATCCACTATTCGCACAAGACTATAACAGAAGGTAGTAAAAGAGGAGGCAACGTCTCAAACTCAGCTGCAAAGTATATTTCATCCACGCTTTATATACCCCATCTCCAACGCCGTCTCTACAAAAAAAACAAAAAAAAAACACACACACATGACAAGAGGACAATGACACTTGGGTAAACCTTCTCTTATCTCCCTTGACCTCGGCTGTGAGACACTCACACAAAGGGTCTCACAGCCGAGGCCAAAACCTAGCCCTTAACAGCGGAGCTGTTAAGGGCTAGGTTCCCCAGGATCGTGTCCGGTATCAAAAGCATGTCGACACAAACCTACCTAGACAGCTACCGCCATCTATAAGCGACAGCGGCAAGCACACAATCACTCTGGTTGTCGCCGTCGCTCGTAGATGGCAGAAACCTTTCCAGCTATCATAGAAGAATGGATAGTTGGGCGCATTGGTGGGAATTCATCGTAGGAAACGGCGCAAAAAAAAGACGAGGACGAAGAAGAAACACGTGTGACGAGCATATAGCACTCATCACGTGTGTTTCTTTGTCCTCGTCTGTTTTGCGCGCTGTTTCCTATGCTCTTATCAGTTTTAGTTTGGACTCAGGATGGGTCGTCCGTGCGCCCTTTCGGGGAAAGAAGACTGGCTGCGGAAGGAGCGGCGACGTACGCAGCAGCGCGAATGGGTCCGCAACCGCCGCAAAGCCGCTGTCGCCTCGACTTCCACTGCGTCCAGCACTTCAGATTCCCTTGCCAAAGAAGAGCACATCGCTCGCCTGGAAAGCCGCCGCCGAGAACAGAACCAGCGATGCAAAGGGCGCCGGCGGGCAAACACCACGGACGACGATCTTGCCACGGAGGCCAAGCGCAAGCGCGAGGCCCGGCGGCGACAGGACGGCACTCCAGCTGAACAGTTCTTGGCTGCGACGGCGAGGTTCCGGAGGGAGTTCGTGGAGAACCCGTTTGGCGTCACGTGCGCCGTGTGCGACCGACTTTGGTTCGCCGGAGACGTATCCACGAATGGCGGTGATTCGGACAAGAAGAAGCGGGAAACGGGAGTGTGCACGTTGCAGCAGTGTATCGAGTACAGCTCCGCTGGTGTTCCTTCTTCACGAGAGTGAAAAGGCTGAACGTTTCTCTTTTGAAGCTAGACAGATTCGCCGGTACCGCGAACGACAGCTCTGAAGTAGAGGTCCCATGCCTGTTGTCTGCCGCCATCGCTTAGTCCGCTTTTTCCAGCCGTCTGGCCCGCTACTCCAGTGATATGACACCATGTTGGCTCTGTGCAACTCTTTTTTTTTTTTTTTCGATCAATGTATTTGCAGTTTTTTGGAAGCAACACAAAATGGGTTTCATACCTATATATTTTTTTTAAAATTGAGTGTGTGCCTTTGATGACCCACGACTTTGATTATATTTAGTGGTTGTGTCTGAACGGAACGTGACAACAAAGAGGGTGAGCGTGGCTCAAATTGGCCTTTGATCAACAATTTTCTGGAGAAAAAAAAATGTGAATTTTGAGCCGCAATTTTTGTTTTGGATAACTAGGCTCTCATATGTCATGTACAAATGAAAACCTTGGCGAGCTTAAATACTTTGTCGATTTAAGGACCTCAAAACAAGGCCTCGTTCCTCACCTGATTCCGGTAAGCATTGTGATGCAGGGATGCCAAGCGATGGTAGATGGTTGCTGCTCGGTACTGATAGAGTGGCTGCCTCGACAGTGATGTTTCCGAGCTGCACAAGTCAAGCGACTTTAGCATGAGCTTCACAACCTCTTTTTCAATCTGTTAGGAGAAAAAGGAAGCCCACAGTCTTTATTGGTTCTTAGCTAGCAGACCTTTTTCGAATTCTAGGTAACGTCGGAAGTCCTACCTCCTCCTGGGCATGCGTAGAAAGCGGTGCATAGTCCTGAAGCAACGTCCCCAGGGTGAACAGGGCAGAGGACAGCTCCCAGTTAACAGAGTCCCAGATATCTGGGTACAACTTCCTATCCCCCAGAACCCTGGAGGCCTTGTTGTAGTAGGAAATTGCCTGCACCATCATCAAAGAAGAAATATAAAGTCCCAGTAATGCACCTGGGCCCTCGGGAAGTAATGAATCAATAAATAAACAGGTCAACAGAGGTTTAGGGGGAACTTAATAACAAAAGCTTATTATAGTAAAAACTTGTTATTTGCACCTCATTCAATTTTTTTAAAAATCCGAATCAACATCTACGGTTTGACTAGGCTCCAGAGATCTACCGGGTGTCCCAAACAGTTTCCAGGCTCTTTTAATCGGCCGCGAAATTCGGTTTCTTAACCTATCGCGTTACGATTTTGTGCAGCGTTGCCCACAGATGGTGCATTTTTTTTTTGGCAAATTTTGAGAGTGAATTTACCTGAGGAAAAAGTAAAGAAAGAAAAAGGCTTAACTCCTATGGAAATGCAGCGAAGCAACCGGTCTTCCAACAATAGGGTGCCCTATGGTTTGAAAACTGGTGGCTTCGCTGCGTTTTCATAAAAGTTAGGCCTTTTTCTTTACTTTTTCCTCTCTCCTTCAAAATTTGACAAAAAAAAATTTACCATCTGTGGGCAACACTGCACAAAATCGTAGCGCGATAGGTTAAGAAACTGAATTTTGCGGTCGATTTAAGGAGCCTGGCCGCTATTTGGGACACCTGGTATATACAAAAAATTCTGTGCTTGTGAATCCGCTTCACCACCGATATTTCAAACTGTGCGCCATTTACCGTGACTACACCGGCCACGGCACTTCTCACTAGGTGGCTCCAATCACTGCCCGACTCAAAGTTCAGCTGTGATCATCCAGCCACCGATTCATAGTTTAGAGCTGCTCATTGTGCTTGCGCCTTTTTGTGCTTAAATCAGTTTATCTTCAACTATCCTCTGCTCCCCATGGTCTCCGGTTCGGCCTTCAAGTTCAAGGCTCCGAATTTATGTCACGGGCAGTCCCAGGTTCCGTGCCGCGCTACACTGCCATTTCACGATATCGACATTGGTTTAAGTACAGCACCAAAACCCTCAGGGAAAAACTAACACTTTTGCATGAAGAAGACACTGGTGTTTTTTTTACTCTCTGAAAATAATGCTTAACTGTAATGAATTACTTTTTGTGAACTGGTAATTTTAATTGCAACTGACTACATATTGAGCAAAGTAGTTGTAATTGTAATTAGATTACATTTCTAAGGTAATTTACCCAAGTATGAAAATGAGAATGTAAAGCAGATGTACCCAAGAAATATTTTTAAAAAACTTCCCAATACTTTACACCGATTTTGTTTTGCTGCAGATACACACCAAACCGCAGAGCACTAATCGATTCTGTGCATCTTTCTAAACTTAAAGCTTTGTCTCACTGAGGGGATGGGATGCCACGCAGCTGAACTACATTTGCCACCGACAAAGTAAAATATGTACCCGCAGACTTCACAAAAACAACTCAACTTGTAACGTGGGCAATGTATGGTATGGAACTTTAGCATTGAGTCATTGCCACTAGCATCAGCACCAGGTATGAGCTCTCTGCAGTGTGTAATTAGTAGCACCGTAAAATACCGAAGGAGTGCATACCACACTTTCACTGAAAATAGGGTTAAGCTAGACATGGGCCAGTCAAATCAGGTGCTTAACGTATAATTTGCAGAATTCCCAAGTTTGGGAAATGTTAATAGCGGGCTCCTGAACGAAGTGGGTGCTTCAGCAGTATTATACATTAGGTGTCAACGAAAGCGTCCTGGATTTTTCACACACCATGACCACATCACGTCAACCGATGTAAGCACGAGTGCTACTTTTTATTTATTTATTAAATTTTTATTTATCGCTTCGATAGGGAGGCTAAGGCAACTACAACCACGCAGTGTGGTCAAACATAAAATATAACGAGGAAATAACAAAAACATACCAACACACAAAAGTACCGGTCAATCAAACTGGCACTGCGCTTCGTGGAAGATCATAGTGTGTGGATGACAGATACAATCTCGTCTAGCTCGTGTCCTCAGTGTGAATGTACGGGGAAGTAAGTAGAATCTCGATGATACAATCACCGTTGACCTGAATACAAATTTCTTAAAAAACCCGATCAAAAACCCTTATTTGTAATGTGTCCCGTTTCGGGACAACGCGAATGCTTTCTTGGGCTGCGGTGGATGATACAAAGAAACTTAAAAGGTCATAAAAGCCACAGTGGACTGCACATTTCTTTTCAGAAAATGCGTGTTAAACAGCGACGCCGCCTGCAAGCAAAATGATATATGTTTGACCGCTACTTTCGATCACTTCGTAGTCCGAACTCTAAAGGTCCAAAGTTATAAGTTTGAGACGTCAAAATAAGGAGAAACAAATATTTTGACGGGGGACGTCAAAACCATTTTGAAAATATTTGACGTCATGAACGCGGATGTCAAAATTGTCACCATACTCCGTTTCACCTTGCGTCCGAGCGCAGGAGATGCTACGAGCCATCGAGCCATCGAAGCCAATCCGAGGCCGTGTGGGTGTCATGTGACTTTGGAGAGGGGACACGGCGACGCGCAGAAAGCGTATCACAGGCTACGTCCACAGAGCAGGATTGGCTAAGACAGATCGTAGCATCCGCTGCGTCTGGACGTAAGGTCAAACAGAGTACTATACCATTTTTTTTTCTCCTTGGCTCAGCTATGGGCATGCAGACCCAAGTATTCAGTAAACATCTTTTCTCTATGTTCAATGTGCATCAAGTACAAAACATTGACTGACCTCCAAAGAGCAAGAAAACTATGTTGCAAAATTTACATGGGACCATATTGTCCGGGTTTGTGCTTGGGACAATATTGTACGCGGCCAATTTGACCGGGACCATTTTGTCCGGATCTTGCGAATTCCAGGTTGAGTTAGAAGCGAGTGTGACACCAAGGTACTTTTATTCAAGATTGAAGAAAGAATAAACATGCGTGACGAGGATGATATGTGAAAGATACCCGGCATAGGAGAGTGTCTCCTATGCCGGCTTCGTCCTACATGTTTTCTTTCTTCAATCCCCGCACCAACACGCTTTTCATCCATTAGTATTTGTGTTCATTGACTGTTTTCAAAGGCATATTATTGATGGCATGGGGGAATGAAAGTGGTGTTTTCTTGTTGGTAACTGTCACGTGAACACACTTGAACCATTTTCCAATTCATACACCATGACAATAGTTCTAATAGGTACCAATGTATAGGTTAATGTGATCAGTAATAGACATGAAATCTGAACAGGATGCAGTCGTCCACAAAAAAACGTCACTGTACAGAAAGATGGCTTACTTCCAAGTTGGTGATGAAAACCAGAAACAAAAGGGCCCAATCACGGACCCTTGCGGTATGCTAGACAAAACGCATTAGAGAGTTTTAGGGAACCGTTTTTGCACATCCGATATGGTACGACGAGCCCTCCGGTGCGGACTGCCCATGCGCCACCACAGAAGACTCTCATACACACAGTGAATACCGCAGGGCCCATGGTACCGCATCGGATGTGCAAACACGGTTCCCTAAAACTCCCTATTCTTTAGTGACTCATGACCATTGACCCTTACGAACTGGGTGCGATTACTAAGATATGAGTGAAACCACAATACTATGTTGTCATTGTTAAGAACACATTTTAACTCGTACAAGAGGTTGGGGTGCAACATAATGTCAAACGCTTTTGGGAGATCTAGAAATATCACATCAGCTTGACCAGAATTATTGATTACTTTCGCCAGCGCATGAACAGTGTGAAGAAGCTGTGTGACTGTAGATAAGCCACTCCCTGAAACCGTGTTGCTCTCTGTGGAAGAAACTTTTTTTTTTTTTTTTTTTCCGAAAAGGTTTTAATGTGCTTACATAAGAAGTGCTCCGGTACTTTTTCGCTTGAGCAATACAATGAAATTGGCCTGTAATTCAGTACATTCGTATGCTACCGGATTTGCGAATCGGAGCAACTTTGGCATTCTTCCAGTCTCTGGCAACTATACCAGTAGCAAAAAATGACAAAAATTCGGAGCACCACTCAGCATATCTGTAGAGGAAGCTGTTTGGTATTTCGTGTGGCCAACCGGACTTCTTGGTACTATCGAGACGAAGAAAGTAATTAATGACACCCTCTTTAGACCCAGTAATATCTGGAATGTCAATATTGATATGTTTCATGCTATAACAATGACAACTGAGAGCCATCATCTGCTTACACGGACAAGAAAAAGTAATTAAAAACGTTTGCTGTATCTTTGCTATTTTTACTACTTGGTCGTTACGCCCGAGCGCCCTTACTGACATTTTTTCTTAGATGAGGCCAAAATTTCTGTGGGTTATCTTTCATAGAAGAGAGCATTATTACATTTAAAAAGCAAAACAACACACTTTTTATTAAGATATGCAAATGATTACGAAACACTCTAAGGGGAAATCTTAGTGCCAAAAACAAAAATATATATATACCAAGGAGAATGAATGGCACCCACCCTATTGTAGAGGGTTCGCTCCTGAGCCGTGAACTCCCCTCGCACTATTCCCTTCTGGCTAGCAGAAGCGGCGTGGGCACGCAGGCGCATGAGGCGCCCCAAGTTGGAATTAACGAGGGCCAGGTTCGCCACATCGTTCAGGGTGTCAAAAGCGTCCACTCCTTTCTCAAGGCACTCCTGACTCTTTGCCCACAGTTGCTCCATTTGCTCACTGGAATGTTCTGAAGCCACAAGTGTTTCATGCCATTCAGCTTTCATCACTTCTTTCAAGTCGAGATACGAGTATAAGAATCACAGGTGTGACATGAAGCATGGGACTACCAAAACATTCTCAAATATGTGCTCCAATGGTAGTACCACCGTGCAAGATTTTATGTATATATTTTTCTACCATCCATTAAAGAAAATACTACCACAGAGATGTGGCACAACTGAAACACATTCACTAGCAATGATGAAAAATATAAAACATCATCTAGGTATCTGCAAATGCTCAGAACTTTTTCAATATAAATTCAAATATTGGTGTACAGAACGTAAGGGACAAGTAAGCTGGTGTATATCAAACCTCATTCTCAGGTTTTTCACAAAAATGTAAAATATTGGTGTATTTGATTTCATGTTGGAATGAAAGTAGTATTAGAGAATATTAAATATTTTAGAATATGTGTGAATATTTTCAAAGATTCGTTGAGTGCACGTCCTCTACAGCCAAATTTATAGAGGGCATATTTTAAAGGCTTTAAAGATTTCTTTAAAGAAAGACATGAAATTTACCCCAACGCAGTTTGTGCAGGCGAGTTATACGGCCAGAGTGACATAATATAGGGGGATAATCGTCACGATAAGTCAGTTAATTAACTAAACTATGTTAATTATCATCGAAAACCACTAAATCAATTAACTTTAAAAGGTCTGGGACACGTGGGAAAGTTACTACTTGTGCAGCTGGAAGAAGGCTACAGGTGCGATAACATATCCGAGCGGTGTTTACGTCCTCTATAATTTGCGTCTTCTGACCGTCAGCCTTGTGCCTGCTGCACAAGTAGTAACCTTAGTGCATAGCTGCACTCCCCACACACTCTAGCCTTTCTAGAAATTACAGATTTAGTGGTTTATGATGACACTACCGTAAAATCCCGAGAGATGCCCCACCCCCGAAAGGTAGCCCACCGCTATTTTTGGCATGATTTTTTTTTTTTTTTAAACACCAAAAGGTAGCCCGCCCCTAGTAATTGTAGTGTTGGGATGAATGATGGCCTCGACTTCAAACATTGCTAGCTGGGAAGTATAGTCATCTTTGCTTCGTTGCCCCTCGTCACCATAACAAGCTTGCAAGGGACACATAACATAAAAATTGAATTTTTTAAACTTTTCTTGAATATACACCGAAAGTTAGCCCACTCCATATTTTCACCTGATCTGCTCTCGATTTTAGGTGGGCTATCTCTCGGGATTTTACGGTAAGTTTTCCCCTTAATATGTAACCGGATGTGTAGTTCTTATGTTTCTCCTTTCTCCCGATCAGTGAACCAATTGGTCCATCTTTCACTAAAGGCACGACGACGCACAAGAAGACAAAAAATAAAGAACTGAGTTTCACGACTAGGTGAGACGACGTTTAACCTGCACAGGAACTGATGGAACTCCAAGACAAACAATCCTATGTGCACCCTACTCCCGTGATAATGTTAATAGTTGGTGACACAACTGAGAATCGAATGAACTTACCCTGCTCATTGAAGATCCTAGCTGCTTGGTTCATGTAAAACACACCGAGTTCGTTGGAGATATTGCCCAGTCTGCGCGTTAATTGCTGGAACTCATTCAGCCTCTCGCTAGAGAGAATTTTCAGCGCACTGGCATAGCAACGTGCACTTAAAATCAGCGTTCTTTCTAGGTCCTGTGGGAATTCTCCAGCCAAGCAGTACTCTACAATTGAAAGAAAAGAGCCAGAGCACAACCAGGTGAGTTCAACAATGTACCACAAATTCATCGGTGTTTTCATCTCAAATCGTGCAAGAAAAAAAATTATGGGTCCTCAAAACGTTCTGGAAAAAATGTATGTCGGTGGAAAACGTGCTACTTGAACAAAACGGTAAATTATAACAACAGAATTTTTTTTGTTCTTGAGTTTTGGGCTTCGAAAGGGCAGAAGGTAGGTCTTACGATTTTTGCAGTTTTCACTGGTGACAGGTTTTGGAGCCTCGCAATGTTTAGATAATCTTTTTCACAACAAGGATAGCTATTTTACTCATTTAATACTTTATATAGAGTTCAATAGAAGTGTGTTTTTTTTATTTTCGAAAATAAAAATTCTTGAATCTTGCACTTTTGACAATAACGTGCCAAGTTTGAATCAAGCTAGCTTTCGATGTACAATTATTTAAGGAATAAATAAGAAACATTTCAAATGAAAGCTTGTATCTAAAACTATCTAAAAATTATATGAATTCAACTATAGTTTATTTAAAAGAAACAACACTGTAAACATGAAAAAAAAAAGCTAAAAGTTCAAAAATCAACGTCATTTTAGGAAAAATTGTTTTTTTTTTTTTTTCAAATTTTCATTTATATGAAAACCTTTCTATGCGCTCTTATAAATGCAACAAAATTTCTTTGAGAAATATGGTTTCGTCCTATTAAGCAGTGCGTTTGAAAAGAAGACATATTTGTACCTCCATTGTACGACGCATATCTCTGTCATTTCGTTTTTCACTTAAATATTAGTGGTTATTTTTGTAACACAATAGTTTTTATTGTTTCTCGAGTCCACACACAGTTTCGCAAAACTTATACATCTATAGGATTTATAGTATAATAATCCACACATTCAGTTTGCTTACTTAGTTAATTACAGAAATCGAAACTCTCTTAAATAATGTTTACGCATTGTCATATTAGATTAACAAATATATATACAGGAAGTTTAAAAGTTTTCTGTGAGTTAATAGAGCATTTGTGGGGAAAAACATTTCAAAGCTACAGCCCACCGAGCACATCAATAAGCGTGCATGAATTTTTTCTTTCTTCAAACTACTTCCTTTACATGATAGCTAAGCTAGGCTTGTTGAAACCTCCTAATCTCCGTCTTTGCAATTGGCACTTCTATGTTTGTGAAGCTAAACATACGTTCCAAATCTCGTAGAATGATACAAAATTAAACTATTAGTTCTGATAGTCTCGCTCCACTTCGGTGCTTGCTTTCACTTTTTTGCAATGTGTGCGTCTTCCCTAATAGTATCACCTGTTTTTTTTTTTTTTTTTTCTTGCTGAGATATAAGTATTTTTAAGGTTCTCGAAAGTTGCATTGGCTATTTTTCTTTGAAGGAGAGTGGGAATGAACGGGCAATCCATGGGCCGAGTGTGGCATAGACATGCCATCTTTTTTAACTCTAGGAATGTCGCATCCCCTTTTTTCATTAGCTGTTGTGATTATTTATTTAGTACAGACAGGGTCACATGAACATTAGAAACGACTGCCATATGACGATCCATGCACATGAAGAAAGGAAGAAGCTATAGACAATGTGCGATTACTAGGAGGCGCTACCAGAGCTAAAGCTCATGTGCCGCCGCCTTCGAGAGTGGCAGCCTTTCCCTTTCATTTTGCTCTGCTGGCAGGTTCTATGCTGTCCGAATATCTGGTATCTCATCTCAGTATGTTACACATTTAACCATAACCGAGAGAGGTTTTGGTTAACCACTCTTTGCCTGGCAGCAATATTAAACATGGGCAACCAAGAATTCAGCCTGGAAGATATGAAGAGACTTTGCCTGTGTGCTAACCCAGCTAAGGAGTGCGTTTTGCTGACCAGTAGGGAGTATCCAAAAAGGGATAGTTTAACCCTGGAATTGTTGCCAATGAAGGAAGATGAATAAATCGAAGTGGCTTTGAGGGAATCAAGCAAACTGCTAAAGGAACAAATGGGAATAACGCATTTTGCAATGAGCTCAGAAAGTGCGTAACAAAGTGCTTCCCCCATTAATTCATCCGACATGCTCAGTGGCTTGCTATAAGCTTAGAAAAGTCACATCTCAAGGCTCGTACCATCGTATTGCATTTCGATTTTGCGGAAAACTGGAGAGTAGTTCTTCCGCGAGCAGTACAATGCTTTCATTGGACAAACTAAATGGTGTCTATCTTCACCTGCGTCGCTACAACGGAACGCAAAATCTATGGCTTCGGAGTCGTCAGCAACGACATTGTGCGCAATACAGCACACACACTGTTTGCTCTGCACACAGTTGAAGAGGGGCTGGAAAAAAACATTCCAATATTTACAAAACTTGTCCACGTCTCAAAAATAAATTTTAACTGTACGAGATGGCGAAGAGACAAGAGGTGACCAAACTGATTTTTCAAGCTAAAAGACATGGAAAAAGTGTGTGTGATGACGTGGGGACAGTACCCAGGCACCAAGCCTCCTTGCACAACCTCAGGTCGTCAGAACTGGAAACCATTGAAAATGCTAATGATTTTTTTTGTGTAAAAGCCCCGAAAGTGCCTGGAATTGTACTCCTCAAAGGTGAAGCAGCATGCCTGGCCCAATACGGTGACACAGTAAAAAAAGACAAATTTTTTGAGTCTTGTGAAAAACATTCAATCCTGCCACTTGTGGATGAAGGCTCAAAATAGAGATGGGTCTTTCAGGGTTATGATAAAAAATAAAAAAGTGAATCCTCAAGAGTAATGTTAACCTCACTTAAAATCACTTTTTTTTTTTATCACCATAAACGTTACTGTGAGCCTATAACACTAAAAATGTGATGTCTTTTTATGCATTCCTCTTGTTTATCTGTCTGATTTGTTATTGCCTCAAATTAAAAGAATTAAACGAGCCTCCGCAGTATGTGTGAAAATGCGACTGCATGAAAGAAGTAAAATTTCGCACCCTGCCTGCTAGGTTTCTAAAAATTATTTATCTCGTCCCTTCATTGACTGACATAGAAGTTTGTAAAACTTGACTTCTATGCTTGTCAAATAAAAAAAAAGATGTTTCAATAAGTTTATTTATAAAAAAGTTGTCAATCTTGAGATTTTATAAGTGAACTGGACATGTACATGAACTTTTATTAAATTATAACATACCAGTCATGCCTCATTTTTACTAAACGGTACATGATGTATATCATAAATACTATAGTCACGTTACAACCATATATCTATATCAGTGTGTCGAACCGAAAAAAATACGGGTTCGGTTACGGTTCAGGTTCAGGTAAATTTATTTTGTTCCGGTTCAGTTCCGGTTCGATTAATTCGGTTCGCAAACCGGTTCGGGGCGCTGAACCGGTTCGTGAACCGGTTCGGAAATTATAAATGACAAATTGCAACATCAAAATAAATTACAAATAAAACATCTGAAATCAGCACATACGAAACGGGATACATCGTAGTGTAAGGCTCAGGGATTTCTACCAAGAATGGTTTCTTTATGTGCACTCAAAGGTACCTCACCGACATTTACGCATTTTCGGACTTCATCTAATTGGGTCCGACGCAGTAGCTGTAAAATCCGCGACCTCCTTACAAACCCACTTACAAGTAGAACTCGCTAACTATCCCGCCACCTCGGCGTGTAAGCAATTGAAGGAACAGTGGGGGGAAAATACAGCTTTCTTTATTTGAATTAGCCTTCGGTAACTCAAATTAGACCCTTAAAAAAGTTGTCGCTAATCAAGATACGGAATATGAAAAACACTTCACCAAACGCAACGCCAGAAGGACGTAGTAGAATGAATATTAAAATAGAAGAGTTCGCTGTCTCACAAATATGTTAGCTTCTAAGTGCCTATACGAAACCGGATGCATTATTATCAAACTCCACAGCCTTTTCTTTTCTCATTCCGATGGAAGCAAGCTTCAAGAACTCGCGCATTCTAGAAACGTGTTATGAAATGAACACACAGCAGCATTTAGGATTTACGAGATTGTAGGAAAATGAAATCCCGTGACGCGATTTTTTTTTTTTTGCACAGCCTTCCAATTTTTTTTTTTCCGTGCAAGCCGCGACCAGCGCATTACTGGTTCCTATGTCAAGATTCATGGATGCAGCGTTTATATTCCTAAGACTGAGTGGAGAAGAAAAATATGTAAGCGAGGTGTGTGTGAGTTGACGGCAGTTAAAAAACAAATGGCATTGATAGCACATTCATTGTCAACAGCGCGTGGTCGAACCGTTTTGACATGAGCCGGTAACCGTTATTTTTTTGTCCGGTTCAGTTCCGGTTCGGGTTCATCGCGATAACAATATAACGGTTCGGGTTCGGGTTCAGTTCCGGAAAAAATACCGGTTCGGTTCCGGTTTTCGGTTCGGTTCGACACCCTGATATATATATATATAATAATTATGTAAAAGATTTGGCAACAGCCCATATCCTTTCACCTTTAAATCGAAGTAAAAATGTCTTTTCAAATGCACTAGTTAATATGAAGAAACATATATACATGCAAATATAAAAAACATAGAAAGCTTCCAACAAAAAAAAAAATAAAAAAAAATGTATTTGTTTTTAAATGATATTGAATTTTTATTTTTAGCATTTCTTCTCAATTTTACAGTATTGTTTTTTCCATATAAACTATAGACCTTTGCAAAAAGAGCTCTCTGGCTGCCGCCATTTTCCGACTCGAGCGACCCCTATCAGCCAGAAATTTCTGCCGCCCGCCTAAGCCGTGGAAACCCGATCAGCGTGACTCCCCACTTGCATTGTGCCTTCGGAGTTTGCCGGCTTTTCTTGAAAGTTTTCACTTTATTTGCCTGTTCAGGATGCTCACTCTTTTTGTGTTTTTTTCCACTTTGACAACCATGGAATATCAGGGGCTCGTAGCCTGCTTCGCCTTCACAGGAAACAAATGAAGAGAGCGAATGTCAAGCAGCCCGCGACGTGGGCCGTTCGATGTTCTTCGAGGATTATTTTCAGTGAGATAATCTCCTGAAAGCCTTCCCGGCTATGTTCCCGGTCTTCGCGAACAATAGCTGATAGGATTGGGTTGGGAACGGAATAGACGCATTCCTTCAATTGCTGTGGTGCTGGGCAAAAAAAGCAGCTCTCTTCACAATGTGCCCCAAAACAAGCCGGATTCTGTCCGATCGTCGTGAAGTGACTGTCGTCAACACTGTATACAGGATATGCTGTGTTATTTGAGACCTTTCTCCGATCCTCTTCGAATAACGTGGCACAGTGGGGTAGGTAAAATATATGTTGTTTGATTGATGTGACTCGCTGAATTTCATGTTGTGAGCGAGGAATACCTAAGCATTTCGGCTATCCTGTGTGGTCTAATATTTTGGACAGTTAAGACCTTTGCAGATTGACACGGCTAAGTGTTTTGGTGCCGTAAAAAGATCAACATAAAATGAAACAAAAATTCAAGTTGCATTTGTTCTGTCGCACACAGACTCACCAAAAATAGCTTTCATTAGTTTGTTTTTCTTCCCAAGAATACTACTACAATGCTTTGTCAAAAACCTCGAGAAATTCTATTCGCCATAGAACACAAAAGAAATAAAACGCAGCAATTTAGCAGCCACCAGCGTCCGGAATTGCGCCTACGCAGGCTGCCACAGCCAACGGACGAGAAAATCCACAGCCCAGCGGAGTCGGGCAACACTGACAGACTCTCTCAAAACCACGGACGGGTGCTGTAAATCACTTCGTTCGAGACTGCCGCTGGAAAGGTCTATACCTAAATTAACAAGATCATAATTTTTACATTGGCTTAGATACAAGCTTTCATTTCACATACATTGAAAGCCAGCTCTTCAAACTTGGCCTATAATTGTCAAAGGCACAAAATTCAAAAATTTTTATTTTATAAAAAATAAAAAAAATAAAACACAAAGTTTTAAAGCAGTTAAAAATGTTATAATTGTTGTGAAAAGAATCATCTGAAAGTTTCGAGACTCCAAATGGTGTCACTCGTGAAAACTGCAAAAATGGCGAGAAGCACCTTATGGCCCTTTTGAAGTCCAAAACTCAAGAACAAAAAATTTTCCGTAGTTCTAATTTGCAGCCTTGTTCTAGTCACACATTTTCCACCAAAATTTATTTCTTTCAAAATTTTTTGAACGCATTATTTTTCTTGCACAATTTGAGATGAAATCACCCTCCTAGGCCACAATTCAGTGTCACCCTTCCACTTTAAACTCGAAAATAGAAGAACTTTTGTGTAAAAAAAGTCAATTATTCCACTCTTTACAAAGCACACAAAGAATCAATTGTTGCCATTAAGAAAGGAAACCAGCAAATGATGAGATAGACATCAGGCTGTGGTTAAAAATATTGTGATTTGATCTGAAATTTGGAGCATGTAAAAGTCAAGCGCCACCAGGAGGTGGAAGTTTCTTGCCACAAAATGAAGTGTTGTCATAACGGGAAATAAGGTGCCGAAGGCAAAAGGACAGGGCACCAGTTTTGTTTCTTGGGAGGTGGTTTCAAAAAGGCCACCGAGAAGAATAAATTAGGGCTGTGTGAAGGACCAGGTGAATGATTGTTCTCTTGTCTTTCTGCACGACTCAGTAGAAAAACTACGGTGAATTGCCACATTTTTTATATAGCTCCGATTGTTCCCTGTGGTTGCCGACAAAAGAAACTTGGATATGCAGTAACCACTTTGTAAAACTCAAAAAACAATAGCCAGGTCCACCCAGCCTACCTGCCAACATTGTTCCCGGATGTTTACAAAAGAAAATTTGTAAGCAGCGAAAGACACAAGAGGTCAAATGAAGCAGAGAATTGTAGTCCACACTGCTCACCAATCTGCATGCTAGTAAAAAAAAAAAAGCTCACTGGTGGTTGTACCTTAGTCTTTTTTTTTTAAATATTAAAAGGGTGCATGTAGTTAGCATACATCAGGCATGACTCCACTGCAAAGATATTTAATAATTATGTAGAGCCTTTCCACCTCACGTGAAGATGGAGGACCAGCGAAGCTGTTATCTTTAAGACATCTCGGACGATGCCTAGAGGATGACGTCTAGGACGACCTCAAGGACGTCTAGAGGACGACGTGTAGACAGACGTCTAGATGACCTCAAGGACGACGTCTAAAACGACCTCAACAACAACTTCGAGGCTGATGCCTAGGGCGACCTCAGGGACGACGCCTAAGGTGACCTCAGGGATGACGTCTAGGACGACCTCAGGAACGACATCTAGGACGACCTCAAGGACAACGTCTAGGACGACATCAAGGACAACCTCTAGGACGTCTGGGACGACCTCGAGGACGACCTCTAGGACGACCTCAAGGACAACCACAAGGACGACTTCTAGGATGACCTCAAGGACAACCACAAGGACGACCTCAAGGACGACTTCTAGGTCAGCCACAAGGATGACTTCTAGGACAACCTCGAAGATGACTTCTAGGAAAACCTCGATGACAACTCTAGGACAACGCCTAGAGAAATTCAGCCTTTCCACTCTGGTGAAAACCAGAGTGGAAAGGCTGGAAAGGTTGGCGCCATCTATGAGCGACGGCGGCAACCAGACAACCAACAAGCCGGTTGCCGCTGTCGCACATAGATGGCGGTAGCTGTCTGGAGTTTTGTGTCGACATTTGTTTGCCCGCAGACATGATACTGGGGAAACTAGCCCTTAACAGCTCCGCTGTAAAAATTATGATTAGTATTTAGACACTATAGAACATTTCAGGGTCACCAAATTTGTAAAGAATTTAAAATTAATGAATGAAATTGGAATTAACAACATTGTTTTGCAGAGGGAGAGAAGTAATATTGAAGTCCTATCCTTGTGCAGAGGTTCTAGATATATCAAGTATAACTCTACCAGGAGAGCAAAGAAAAAGAGCATTTCACATAAAAAATACCCATTTGTCGTCACCTGCAATATATTAAAATTAGAGTTTAGTGGTTTCTTAAGAAAATTAAAACAAAACGACACTGCTGGCAAAAATGAAACTCAATTGGTGACTTGTCATTTTACTTTAAAAGTATGAGAGGGTTACTGCTGCATGTACGTAATTTAAGATTTTACCGTTTTGGTGGCAGCAAGGCATCTGCGCAAGCTTGCGAAAAATTATGTTATTTTAGGAATTGAGCACATGACTGATTTCTGAAAGACACCTTGCAGTGTTGCAGTGTGTGGTAAAAGTTTTCTTTAATTCAACATGCTCAGAAGGGATGGGAAAAGATGAAGAATGGTCAAGCTCTCGTCTCACATTGTGGACAACTTGGCCAACTGCCAAGTCTGGCTGTGCAGGTCTCGCGATTAAGCTCATTCACAGAAACGCAAACAGCCTTGGCACGCTTACAGCAGTCGGTAACTTTGGCTTTGCAAGAGCACTTGCCGGAGTTCAAGGAGTGTGAGCAACTGCACAACTGGATGTGAAGATTTAGACAATCCTCATCTAGGTCTCAATTGCTCCAATTGCCAAGAGCAAGTGAAACAGCACAAAAAAGAGCATTTATCTTGAGGCAGATGCCATGGATGACGTGGTCTTGTGCTTGTGAGATGACATTTGCACTCAACAAATAATCTGGCTCGATAATCTCCTCCATCCCAATGACATGGCACACAAGCAACCTTCCTTTGCGGAGGTGCGCTTCCTTAAAAAATAACCAAGCTTTCAACGGGGAAACAGGAGCAAGAAAATTGCGACATACTGTTTGCCATTGCAACTCAATGCACGCCACATTAGGGCGATTTTGCACTGCTGCGCGGCACCCCTCCTGGTCCAGCCAAACAGGTCTCTAGACCCCAATTCGGTCAATGCAAAACAGACACCAATTTATCCGCTCGATTTGGAAACCAATAAACATACCCTAAAAAAGGAATCTCCACTGTAGCATGGGTCTACCAAAAATACCCGCTTTAGAGAAGAAAATTTGCGCTTACTCAGGTTGATCGGGGATCCTGAGATCTTCTCCAGGAATGCCAGCAGTTGCTGGTCGTGCTTGCTGGGAAGCTCAAAGTCCTCCCTGTGAACTTCCCGGCTGAAGCCACTGTCTCCGTGCACCAGCATCAGATAGACGTCCCCCGCCAGTCCCAGTAGATACACCAGGGACTCCAAAGGGCATTCCTTCCCAACCTTGGCAACCAAAAACCGTAGCTGCTCTGCAAAAAGGCACACCGAAAAAAAAAAAAAAAAGCTTTGACTATACAAGGTAAGAAATTGCAGCCCCAGCACTGGAACAGCAAAGCTCCAATGCAGTTCACACGATGCCCCGCCAATTTCCCAAACGTTTGCTTGCTAGGAGCCGGCAACAATAACGGACCATTCCGAAAATATGCAGTGCCTCCCATTGTCTTTTTGACGCGCTACGTCAATCCAATGTATGGCGCGTGAAGGATCACCCAAAATAGAAGGTACGGCTCATGTTCCTTTTGCACAGTGTTTCTGAACTACTCATGTTTCGGGGACCCCCTTGCGAAGGACAAAACTGAGTGACAGAAGGGTAAATGAAGCCCTACTCACTGATTGTGCATGGTTTGGTCTATTTGGCTTTGTGGGACAGCCAGCATCAACAAAAGAACAGTTTCAGTACTTGGCTTGAATGACAGTCTAAGGCTTTGGGGACCCCAAGAAGGCCTTCGAGGACTCCAAAGGGCAGACCCCCATTGCAGAAACACTGGTTGAGCATTTCGTGATTTCAGGACACAAACAAAGCAGGGCAATAACGAATCAAGGTGTGTATCGGGTTTGTGATGTGTTTGCTCTGATTACGCTGTGTTCTGAACTCACAGTGGTAAGAGAGAAGGAATTAAGCCTCCTACAGGGTGCACGGAGCATTGACCTCTACCCATACGTATACACTCAAACGGTCCCACAATTCCCTGCACGGTGCAATGTGGGAGTGACAAGAGGCCTTGTGGGGTTTTCCGGAAAGGCCTATTGTCTCTTATGCCTAAATCATGACACTTCTAAGAGTCTAAACCAAAAAAGTCTAGAAAGTGACAGTCTTCTTTCCCAAAACAATCATTTTCAGAGTATTTTGAGGTCGTCACCATTTAGTTCCCCTACATTAATTGCCCAGGAAATGATCTTACTTTCTATCAGAGACACATCAACATTGCTTAGTCATTCCATCGTTGCCAAAATAATGCGGCATCCAACCTGTGCTTTCGCTAGATACAAGGCAGAATGTCTGGAGAGTGCAATTGTGAAAAAGATTTTCTAAAAAGTAATTTCGTATTTCTACAACAATATTGTTCTAAAAAAAAATTTAACAGCTTTTCGGCTCTTTGTGCTTTTGACAGTCTTAATATTTATTATTACAAATATCAATAAAAAAGTGAAAGCCGTTTACAACTCCCTGTAACGCCAAATTAGAGCGCAGCTCTTGAGGAGGAGGAGGGAAGGGTACTGGGGGAGGGGTCAACTGACCGGAGGGGGGGGTCACGTGACCTTGGGGGTCACGTGACGATGACAATGCCGATGATGTCATCAGTGATGTCACTGATGACGTCATCAGTGATGTCACTGATGACGTCATCAGTGACGATGACAATGCGGACACCGATGACGTCATTAGTGACGTCACTGATGACGTCACCAGTGATGATGACGATGACGATGCAGATGTCGGTGACGTCATCTGTGATGATGACAGTGACGATGCGGATGCCGGTGACGACATCAGTGACGTCACTGATGACGTCATCAGTGATGATGATGATGACGATGCAGATGCCGGTGACGTCATGAATGATGTCACTGATGACGTTATCAGTGATGATGACGATGACGATGCGGATGCCGGTGACATCATCAGTGACATCACTGATGACGTCAGTGACGAGGACGTCATCGGGGGGGTCACGTGACCTCAGGGGAGTCACGTGACCTCAGGGGAGTCACGTGACCTCAGGGGAGTATGTGACCTCAGGGGAGTCACGTGACCTTGGGGAGGGGGTCACGTGACCTCGTGGGGGGGAGTCACGTAACCTCCGGGGGGTCACGTGATCTTGGGGGGATACGTCACTTTGGGGTGACCTTGGGAGGGGTCACGTGACCTTGGGGATCACATGACCTTGGGAGGGGTCACGTTACCTTGGGGGCTCACATGAACTGGGGGTCACGTGACCTTGGGGGTCATGTGACCTTGGCTTGACTTTGGTTACGCCGACGGCGACGCCGCTCAAGCCGGAAACGGGCGCCTAAGAGCTGCGCTCTAAAAAATTCCCCAGGTGCATTTTTTATGAAATTTCAGTAAGAAAAAACAAAGAATGAGCGTTTTCTTTGGTCCCATTATCAAACGACATATTGATTATTTTAGCTCAGGCAAGCCGCAGCTCCGCAGAAAGGCACGTTGCCCGTACCATGAAGGCTGCGGCGCCATGTCTAATGATGATTGACTAAAATTAAATTTGCACTCAAAGGGTGGAATGGGAGAAAAATTCATCCAGTGTCCAGATCTCTGCCTTTCATTTAGCAGTGGGGCAGCAAAAATAGTTCATAATATGTTAACTTCGCAGAAGAAATTAACTAAACTTTGTAGAAGTACTGTTTGAACACCAGTTGACCTAAATACAACATTTTGCAAAACAAAAACCTTTCTTGCAAAAAAAAAAAAATGATTCTCTAGGCTATGTTCCCTCTTAAAGGACACATGCAAAGGAAAAAAACATTTTTTTTAAACAGCTTAGATAGAAAAATGATGTCATAAAACAATTTTACAACAAAGAAAAAAAATTTTAAAGCTATATTTACGGCGCTATACGAATTTGTAGTTGGCGCCCACGAGTACCGCGGAAAAGTGGCCCTTATTTATCACGTGACTAGCCCTTATTTATCACGTCGTGCTTGCGCTCTTTTGGAAGCTTCCTACGGCCTCTAAAAGTAACTTATTCACCTTTGTTCGAAGTATAACAAAAAAAAACTAAGATTAATAAGTAACTTTTAGAGCCCAAGGGAAACTCCCGAAAAAGCGCAAGCAGACGTGATAGACCTGTGCGCCGAACAGATGATGGCAGCGGCGCCCCGAAGCAGACAAGCATGTGTGGCGGCGGCGACGGCGGCGCGGAGAAACGCATTGAAGCAAAGCCGCACAACGCTCTGCGTGCGGCGGCGGCGTGACTTCGCAGCGGCGGCGACGCAGCATGGCGGCGCATGGGCCTACCACGTCACCAGCGGCGGCTCACGCGGGCGCCAACTACAAATTTGTTTTGCGCCGTAAATATAGCTCTAAATTTTTTCTTTCTTTGTTGTAAATTCGTTTTATATTCTTTTTCCATCTAGCATGTTTAAAAAAAACGTTTTTTTCCTTTGCATTATTCTTTAAAGGCCGACGACCAGTTAGTGCTCTCCCTTTTTCCCTAGCTTCCTCTTGTCCCTCCTTTTACACTTTTCACAGTTGCCCGTTTCCTCCTCCCCTCGTCTCCTACCGCAGAGCTTTACCCCTGCTCCGCTAAGCCCGTGGCGGTTAAGCCATAGACTCCAACTAGAAAACAAAAGGGATTATGATACAAAAAAGCAACCCCAACATGATTTACAGACAGCCTTAAGCCCGTGAGTTACAATGCTGTTGGCGTCAGTGCAAGTTTTAGTCAGCTAGCCGTGCACTGGTATTTGTTGATATGTTCCCCTTCGATGTTTTCTTTTAGGGGCGAAGCTCCTTAGGGGCTAGCCATGTCCGTATGTCCGTCCGATGTCCGGCGTCGGGGGCTTGTGCTCCTGCTCGTGAGCTCACGCGCTCACGAGCACGTGAGCACGTGCTCCCGTGCTCGTGTAGGGCAAAAGGAAAACAACCGCATTTCCACGAGGTGAATGATGTTGATTGGAGCGAAGCTCTGGTGGTGCTTTTCTGCGTAGATGGTGAGCCGCAGCATGCCGAGCCTTTTGTTCGTTTTCATCCATGTCAGAAAGAGAATCTGTGGTATGGAACGTGGTTATATACGCATTTGAGCATTTGACCGCAGCGTGACATGGATGCAAACGAACGAAAGGCTCGGCATGCTGTGGCTCAGCGTCTACGCAGACAAGCACCACCAGAGCTTCGCCCCAATCAACATCATTCACTACGTGGAGATGCGGTTGTTTTCTTTTTTTCGGGGTGGGGAGGGGGAGCGGGAGGGGGGGGGGGGGGGGGGGCGTGTGGCTAAATAGGGCTGGATGCCATTCTCCGTTTTTTAGAGCTTCATTCCGCCTTATTAAGAAGATACCCACGATTTTGGAAAACATAGTCTGTGCTTGCTCAGCCCCACGTATACGCTGGTTTGCAAGTTGCGAGTATGAAAACACGTGATTGCATGTTCCAGCAAAATAAGCCATGGCCTCTTGAGAAAGGGAGTTAGATCCTGCATCCTAGATGCAGTGGCCTGTGAGTGATTGAGCTCCCCCACCATATCCTTTGCACATATTGTGGCTTATCTCCAGCTCAGCTTTCGCCCCTCTAACAAAGAAGCTTCTTCACTTTTCCTTGCTTGGGAGCCTCACATTTTCATACCAATGCATTTCGATCCAGGCTTCCGACAGGGGGCAGCAGTTATTTCAAAATATGTCAATTTACATTGATTAAAATTGCGCTAATCAAAAAAGCACCCAGCAAAGACGTACCGTGCAGTGCGAGAAACAAACCTGGATCTCGTTTCCTGGTCCTGAAAGGTTCCTTCGCTAATCTTCCGGCGCACAGACTGAGAGGTGTCCATTATGGGGGGCACCCTTTTTTCTGGCTCATTTTTATTCGTGCGCTCGAGCAATAAACCACCCCACCATCCGAACAGCACACGTGGACTCACGCCCCACTTTTTTAGTCACCTCTTTCCATCCTTTCCTTCCCTTGCTTTAAGAGATGAGAGGAAGAAATCCTTGCAGAATATTGGAATACTGGTCTTGGGGCTTTTTTTCTTATTTTTTTGACTGAACCCAATGAAACAACATAAGCTTGTTCAGACTTTTGTGCTGATTTCAAATATCTAGTTGTTTTTTTTTAATTGGTGTAAGTTTGTTTTTAGGAGAATTATAATTAACATACCTTTATTTCCAAAAACAAAAGTAAGAAAGCATTTTTAAAAACTCGAGGTTTAACATATGGTCAGATATTACAAATTATAGAGATTGCAATTTTAAGTACTTTTAGATTAAACCATTCTTAGTGACTTTAGATCACATTGAAGTTCAGTGTTAAATGTGTGGCTACCAAGCAGTAAAACAATACGTAGTTCAGTTTAATATGTTCCAACATCTATATTGAAAAATATGCTCACACATTGTATGCTTTGAGCATTTAGCTATATGTTGCTAAGAAAGTTATATTTCCATCTGCCCTAGATGCTGAGATATCCCTCCTAAAACATTTGCAAGGGGTAATTTTTTTTTTTTTTTTTTCTAGAGAGTTGTTTTAATTTTAACTTCAGTGCAATATCAGCTTGCATAGATATTATAAAGTGAGAATATGGCTGAAATATTGTTCTTCAAGATAAGAAATTGGCACATCAGAAGAAATATAGCTGTAAATTTCGAAATCATAATTTTCCAAAAAAACGTTTTCATGGCTTTTCTTTTTTTTTAGCTCCAAAACCCCATGTATCCCCTTAAACACAGAACAAGTAAGTCGTAAATCCAATGCTGCCCATTTATGTTGTGCTTTCTGAGCACCTCCTCTTTTTATCACCCCATTCTTGCTGAGACGGAAACAGCTCACCGTGGCAGTGAAGGCCGTAGCGAATCCAGCGGAGGGCGCGACCATAGCGGTTCGCACAGCACGCAATCTCGGCCATGGTGCAGTAAGTCCTCGCAGCCTTTTGCAGCAAGAACTGCAGGCAGTGGTCTTGCCACGAAGGATCCCTCAGATTGGTCAAAGACTTGGCCACTTCGATCCGACTGTTGAGGAGCTCGGGTGGGGGTGCTTCCTCCTTGGCCACCTCGTCTTGCAGGGGAGGCGCCTCGGCTCCAAGGGGAAAGTATCGAAGAGGAATGGGCACGTACGGCTCCGCAATGTTCACATTCTCCGGCTCCGCCTCCAACTTCTCAGAGGCTGGCTTGTCTTGAGCAAAAGTTCCACCTTCGGGCCTGTCTCGTTCATCTGACAGGATGAGTGCCATCCCCTGGGGAGGGAAAGATACGACAGGATTCCAGCTAGGGCTGTGCGAATGTTCGAGATTTCGAATATGAATCTAATATTTTTTTTAAGCGATTCGTATTCAATTCGAGAGTTCCATATTCGGAAATTTCCGAACATTCAGTTATGACCGAATAATTCGGCAATGTAAGAATATTCGAGCAAATAGCGAATAATCCGCAAACGCGACATGCCCTGATCATTCAGAGCTTCCTTAAAATTTGTGTTTAGTCGCCTAAAATACCGGGTCTTGTAGCCATTTTTTATAAACCCTTGCTGTTTTATGTTACCTATACGTAGAAGTACTGTGTTTGCTCGATCTAACACACCCCCAAAACTAACGCACAGGCAGATTTAGCTCCCAGGTATTCTAAAATAAATTGCTGCCGATATTCTACCGTGCAGGTAAAATCAAGGCGGAACAGATACCTCATAGAACAGATTTTATGAAACGCATGCCAACACAAAAATAAATGGCGTGCACTAGTTGCCGTTGTCGAAGTTCGGCGATGGTTCTTCGCTTTGCTTTCGTTAAAGCATTTTAGGTGCTGCGCTTCTACGAGTGCGCAACCTCCGCCCCTGGGAGGGTCGTCTTCCAAAGCACCAGCAACACTTTGTGAGCTCGTTGGGTTTCTGGGATTGCTAGACCACGCAGTGCTACTCCGTTGTCATCTTTTACCGCCAGCGTGATGGCCTTTTGTTTAAATAAAGCCTCCTAGTACAGTTTCTTCTGTTTTTCCATCTTAACGGAAAACACGAGACCATAGACTCAAGAGAATTCGTGTGATACGGTTACTAAAATGTCAAATGTAAACAAACGGTCACGATGGAAACAGGGTTAGTCACCTTATCCGAGTATTGTGATTTTCATTTGAGTTTCGGTGTTTGGTTTCGATTGTAATGCGAATGTATTTTTGGGCACCGTATTTGGCAAAAAAAAGTATGCGTTATTTGTGCAAACAGGTATGTATTAGCTCACGACAAAGGAGCAGTTTTGGTTTTCATTTTGCCAAGCCTGCATTGTAAGTCACTTTTCTAGCAACCTTATCATTTCTGCTGCAGGAGCGAGGGTATTTTCTGCTGCGGGAGAAGTTGTCACTGCAAAAAGGTAGCACTTATCTACTAAACATCTGGAACAACTAACTTCCTTAGATGATAATTTGCAATAACTGCATTGCAGCTGATATCTAACCTGCAAGCTAGTCAAGGGCAATTTCAATTATGTATTATCTTCAAAAAGGTCACTATTTTGAGCTGTTTGTGTGACAACATTAGAGGTTGCATTTTTACACGCCATCTATACTTGCAGTTCTGTACTCCTAATACTGTCAATTTGTTTAACTTATCAGTTGCACCTTCTGCCTGCTTTCATGTACAGTTGACAGGTGATAACTAGTCAAGGTACAATAGCTGTGTTACCAATGCAGAGCACAAGTTTGTCTGCTTCTTTTGCAGGGGTTGTAGTTACGTCACAACGCCGAGCTTCAATTGGCTCCGATTGAAGTATAGTGGGTAGACCTCTAGGCAGCTTGCTCTGAGGCACTATCCTTTAATCAGAGCCCATCAGAGCTCGGCGTTCTCAGGTCACCACGACCCCTGCAGAGGAAGCACACAAACTTGCGCTCCGCATTGCACTGTTTATATGCTGCCTAGTCGGGAAGCTTCATTTACTTGAATTTGTTATAATTTTCCGTTTGAAAGTATTTACTTTTTTTTGTTTGTTATTTCTTAATGGTACACACATATTCGAAACATTATAAATATCCGAAGCTATTTTTTTTCGAATATTCATAATCGATTCGCATTCGAAAATTTAAATATTTTCACATCCCTAATTCTAGCACCACCTGGTCGTTCAGTTTATTCTAAGTAGCAGCAGGTGACAGAAATATATGTTTAATTCCCTCGGCAGTTGATTAGATGGCATTTAGATGGCAGCAAAACATTTTGTCCGAATATTTCGTCGTTCATGGTACAAGAAAAGTCAGGACTACAGCAGTCCCTCGTTAAAACGTAATCACTCCGTTCAAATTACAGTCGACTCTCAATAATTCAAAATCTCTTAATTCAAACTTGCGGATAATTCAAACTAACATGCAGGTTCCATCCTGTGCGTCTCCATGGGAAGAAACTCCTGGTAATTCAAACATTGCTTTCTTCAAACTAATTTTTGGCCCCCTCGAGTTTGAATTAACGTGATTCGATTGTATTGCTTTATTCAAAGTTCAAAGTGGTCCCCCGCCCAAAATGCGTCCATTTTGAGCCAGATACTTCAACGTCTATCGGCAGCTGATAACGGTTATGACAAAGGCTGAAGCCCTCCCATTCCCCCCTTTTCTTGTTGATGCACCTATGTGGCCAAGGAGCAGTGTCCACATTCCGATGCTACACGCGGCGCCTGGGGCTCAAACGACCCGACTCCCGTCGGAATCGGGTCAAAGAAGCAAAGGATCCTGAAAGGGGCACTGACACCCCAAAGGTCGCCTTTTTTTTTTTTCTTGTTGTCTAAAACGATTCAAGTTGTAGTCATGGACACACACAAAAAAAATACCACAACACGAAAAAAAATTTCCCTAGGCTATTTTTGGAGTTTTCTCCCCCTTCTCACCTCCTCGCTTCTTTTTATGTGTGAAATAATCCATTATGAAATTTAGAAGCTTTGTAAGTGACATTTCTATCATATTTAATAACGGCATTCGTAAAACAGGTTTTTTAACGCAATTGCGAAAGCACTACTGCCCTTCTTTTTGAAATACCGAAAATCGGAATCCGGACTGATGTCGCCTCCCCTGGCTTTTATCCTCCCTCAGAAATCTAAGGCAGCAGCATAAAATAAGCTGATCTCGCCTTTATGGACAACTAAATGAATAACAAAAATAATGCATGTGGAACTTTTTTTTTTTTTTTTTTTTAAATATATTGAACTCACAAAAAAGGCATTTCGAATGGCTGACAAATATTTCTTTAAATTTTCATAATTACAAATATTGCAACAAAACCTAGGTAGTTTATTCTACAGATCCCAAAGCATATGCATGCCAAATTTGGTTGTGATAGGACAAAATTAAGCACAATATTCTTATGCACAAACTATAAAGATACCCAAAAATTACAAAAAAAATTTTTTTTTATTATTTTATGCAAGAAAATTAAAATATTGAAGCATGAGAGAAGTTCAAGACGACTAAGACAATATCTTAAAATAAATACGATGGCAAGCAACAGCACAATTTGAATGACCGAGTGCACGGAGATGGTTCAAATGCGTGACTTTCTGGGTCACCGAGAGTAATACTTGAAATGCGTATCTAATTTTTCACATAAAAGGTGCAGGTTCAAAGATAACACAGCACCCTAAGACCCCAAACTCCATAAAAGTAAAATCTGCTGTTTTTAATTTGCAAACTCATTAAACCTAGAAAAAAAAAATTTTTTTTCTTTTCCTACTTGTTTAGGAGAGGCATGTCTCAAAATAAATGTTTGCCAAAAAAACATTTTTCTGCTTAATATTTATGTTACAATATGAATTTTTCGATTTGCGGGCGAAAGCAAAACAGCACCCCTATGGGATGATGATAGCGTTTGTACCTAATTTTATGCGCTCTTAGTTTGCTGAACCTCAGAGCGCACACTACACTCCGTTCACCCTTAAGATGTGACTAGGAGCTCTGCCTTCAGCGCAAGCTTTCTGCCCTTGCTAACATGAGTGTGAACGCGCATTCACGCACAACCAAAGCACTGCGGAAGCCAGCGAGCTCGCACTGAAGGTGGAGCTTCTAGTCTCAGCTTGAAGGAGCCCTGCAATCCGACTTAAGCATCTACCTTTCTTGCCGTTTCCACACCCCTTGTGGTTTGGGCAACCCAGCGGGCACGGAGATAGTCACTAAATATCAGAGCGTCATATTTCAACCGGACGACACGGAAACCTCCTCCTCCTACGTGAATGCACCGTGATGCAGAACGCAAACGGCATATGACGAATTTGTGACGTCGTCAGTCCCGCTCAGCTCCTGCCTTATGACTGATCAGAGCAGCTAAAAGCTTTTGTTTTCTTTTTTTAGTCGAAATACAAAATATAAGTGCACGAACCGTTTCAATTATTTATGAAGGTAGTTTTTGTTCAGTATTTTAAATGAGAAAAGAAACAAATGCAATTTCGAAAGTATGGAAACAAGAAACAACGCGCGGCGACCCGTCAACATACCCGCCACCAAGCTGTGGAAGAGGTGGCGCAGGCCAGCGCAAGCACCCCCGCAGATCCTGGCATACGACGCACGATACCAGCGGCACACTTTGCAAGAAGCGAAAAGTATAAATTTGTCTCCTGTGATCTTGCACAACAGGAGAACCACTCGGAACTTGCCTAGAACTTGAGCGTTCTCGAGTTGGAGCCGAGAGGCTTCGCCAGCGCGCTCCGGACGCTTACAAGGAGTGTCCTCGTACAGTACTACCTCCAGCTCCGCACTTCTATCGAGGATTCGGAGATACAACTCCTACAGACCCGGAAAATTCATGCCTGCATGCCCGATGGAGGGCTGAAGCAAGCCACGAGCCTTTGATGCGCATGCCGCTGCAGGGGAAGCGGCCATCGGCGTAAGCCGCAGCCGGTTGGCCAGTCATTTCGCTTCTACTATTGGCCACCCAAGCAAGGACCAGGGACGTCACGAAGGAGGTTATATTGCTCGTTTTTGTAATTCGCCTATAACTTTTAAAATAAAGCAAATTTTGAGAAAAGTTTTTTTTAAGTTACTACATTCGGTGAGCTCAGGTTCGGTGCAAATTAAAAACCAGTCGAGTGTTGTTTTAGGGCCCCTCTAAGGGTGAACAGAATATGGTTGTACAAATGCTATCACCATCATCCCACAGGGGCACAATTTCTGTTTCGCCCACAAATCGAAAGATTCTTATTGCAGCATAAATATTGGGCAGAAAAAAACTTTTCTCAACGAACATTTATTTTGAGACATGCCTGTCCTAACAAAATAG